AAAAGTGTGAACATATATATTGTATATACACATGTATATGTATCTTATTTTAAGTGCAAAAATTGATAAAGATCGACGTAACTACTGTCAAATCGGACTTGATATTCAGATATCGAAGAGTCTTAATAATTAAAAGCTAAAAATAACGACGATATTGGAAAAACGTTTTAGGACGTTGTAACAATATATAAACATGTTTTTTAGATGAAGATGAAGCGCTAGTTGAAGAGAAAAAATGGGCACGAGAACCACTGGCAGCATCTACAGACTAGAGATATTGAATTTTATCGCAAACACGTGCGAGCTTGTTTAATTTTATACGATTTTTTATCGACGCCTCGTAATATCGATAATGTAAGCCGTTGCTTCTCTTCCCGCTCTTCTCTCCTACTCTCTCCCACCGCCACGCAGGTCGAGGGTTTATATCAAGTTATGAAGTTTGAGAAATGATCGGTGCTTACGGCTTTCACATTTCCCTTTTCAGATCTACGCAAGAAGAGAACCCATGTTGCAAAGTGTTTTAATGTTACGTAGTCATCGGTTTATTTAAATCTTAAAATAGGAAGCAAATTTTGTTAAGTAGATGATACAATGCACATTATTTACATATAATGTCACATAAAAAGTTACTTGCATAACAATTATATATAATTACCTTTATTAAAGTTGGTGTTTAAAATATGTTTTGTTATACTTTTTTAATATTTATGCACTACTAACGTAAAATGTAGATTTTTGCGCACAAACGTTTTTCAATAATTGAGATCTAGAAAACTTTTTAAGAGAGTTTTCCGTGCAGACGGAGTTTGTTCATGTAATATGAAAGTGATTCTGATTGACTCCTACAATGGAGGTCAGCATAGGACTACGCAAAAAAAAATTGTGTATTCTCACGTTCTTTATTTTCACGAAGCTCTTTATTTTCACGAACAGGAACTCTTTCAATTCACTTACTCCTATCGTGCTGTTACCTTACTACCGATTGTTACACACAACTCGCACACTAATCGCACGTGTCAGAACGCAACCACGCCTTTGTATGCGCAATATCGTTTTGCGCAAGATTTTTATCAAAAAGTAGAGGAATACAGGGGAGGCGTGAGAATAGCGAGTTTATGGATCCCGACATTGTGAGAATAAAGGGAATGCGCTGTAGCACCTGATCTGTTACGAAATTTAGCAAAGCAGTCAGCAAGACAGCCAGCACAGGAACACGCAAGCAATCGAGCAAGCAAAAACGCATGGTATACCGCTAGTTTAAGACGGTGATATTAGACGGATGGTTAAAAAGAGTAATTCCATAAAAGGTAGAATTTATGCTTTCTACGAATCCGTTTAGTGCTGTTTGCCTGCTAGATCGGTTCAATTATACCTTCAGTAAATGTGTGTGTGCGTATAAAAGTTAACACAGTTGTATTATATGTAGGTGCTTTTTCTAAAACGTGTATAGATCCATAGTAAGTCTAAAGTAGGAACTTGGTAACTTTTATACCCAAACTCTTATTTTTCTAACATACACGGGGTTTCTTGTAAAGATTCAGTTATAGATAACGACGTTGCATCTAGAATTGCATGTCCAAAAGTGAGTCTCGGCGCTATTATTTCAGCGCGAGAAACGAAATACGACTTGTTTTATATCCTCATTTTGTTTACGGATCTTGCAAAGCTCACCAAAGTATAGCCATGTATTTATAGTCAGCATCGGTGACTTTGTCGTAGCTCGAAAATGTCTTTCCACAGAGCCATTTTTAGAGATTCGAAAATAAATGAAAATCGAACGAAGCGATACGTGAAGAATAAGAAAGAGCAATTCAAAGTTCAATCTTAAAATTTTGATCATTGCAATAGTTAAATTGTATGAGAAAGTGTTAAAACTATCACCGAGAGAGTATCTACTTTGACGAGATGTTACACAAACACTACGTGCGATAATGAGCTAGTGCTTGACTTCTGAAAAATGAACTAGTCAACGACAACAGCATAATATGATAATACTGTTGTTATCTACATTTCGGACACTTATCAATCGTTTCTCATATAGTTTAGAAGCTTTATTATGATTCGCTCGTAGTATGACATGTTAGATTCTTGTTATATTTATGAAGACACTCAAAGACTAAACAACGCAAATCGCGAATGCAGATTGTGAAGTACAATTGCCATGAACGGTAACTATGTTGGCAAAATCATAATGCCAACAATCACACAATAGAATAAAGCTTAATGCATTTTACAATCTCGATCAATATTTGTACACTACCCTCTACTTAGATTAGTAGTGTGACAAGTTTTACTCGAAATTTACGGGAATTACAGAATCTTATTCTTCAACGATGACAGTGACTGACAGTGGTTGTGGGGCGTCGTCGAGGACTCCGTCATGAATCCGCGTAGAGTAGGACATAATTTACTTTGAAGGCCACAAACCCTATTACCAAGCAGAACGTGCTCAAAGTAATGACTTTCTCTAGCCCGCGAACCGCTGTCGCAGCTGCACAGCAGCATATTGCGTCATCAAATGATTTTAACCTAACCTAACCCGACTTTTTCTCGGTCGCGGATGGAGTTGTCATCGTTGCTCGACAAAGGTTATGTTACAAGCTCAGTAGGTCACTGAAGACAAAATTGCGTCTGGTCAACATTTAAAAAAATGACAACCTTGATTTAAACAATAAAAAAAGTTACTTCTGCAATCATAAACTTGACTTCTGCGAATAGTAGAAATTATCAAAGTGACCAAATCTCATCCGCTTTCGGTATACATGATAACGTTTAATTCTTCGCATGCCTACAGACAATTACATGTAAATCCTAGTAGGGTCTATAAGATTTCACAAATTTAAATAAAATAAAAATGCCGATTATAATTATATAATTATTTATAAATAATACGTAATACTTTCTTCGGTTAAGTAAAAATGGTGAACGCTGGGTTTTTTCTGTTAATAATATGTCAATTAATTTTTTTTCTTTCTTTATCAATCGTATCTATATAAATTGTTGATGTTAATCGAGTTGTTTGATGATAATCATTCTAATAAGCAATATAACAAATAACCCAAGAAAACCTTTTGCACGTGTAGAGAAAAAAGTGAAAGGCTAAAATAAAACCGAAGCTCGCGCAAATTACAGCAGAGTTTTCTGTGACTAAAGTCGTTGGAACGAAGCTTCTCTTGCCATTTATAAGTTCCCTTTATTCGCCCAGTCTTTAACAAGAGTCGTGCGCAAGTGTGCGGTAGTAGAGTGGCAGGTACGAGAAAAAAACTTAACTGGTGAGAGTTGATGACCTTAACTCAGGATAGTCACTTAAGTCAAAAGGACTTAAGTCACAGGAACTCTTCTGTATGCGATTGGTCGTCACGAGGACCACAAAAGGCAATCTGTCGGTAAAATATAATATGGTACGAGGCAGTCGATTTTACTCCTTCATGATGTGCTCGGCCATATCGTAATTATACGCTATTCAACGCGCTGCATCGACCATTGCGTCAAGCAGTCGATGTGAGAAATCAATCTGGAATATATTCGCGGTTTCAAATCATTTATCAATTGCAGTCATTACATCGTACGCATCTTTGCAGATATATGTCTGTATGGTCATAATCATGGACTACTGCAAATTATGTAGAATATAGTGTACATTATGTGTATACTTCTCGTAAATTACGAGAGAGTAAGCGAACGAAAATTGATCGGATAACTAATAAATCTATAATTTGCGAATATTTTTATTCTATTTCTATATATTTTCTCTTCTATTCTCTCATACTCTTCTCCCTCCGATTTATTTATTTATTTTTTTATTGAAGAGTTGTTAAATCTTTAGTTGCAGTGTGCGCTCTCAGAAATATTGAGTGCAAATACGTTATAAAATTTATTATTTGGATTGCTCTCGCGATTATCACACGATGGCCTCTCTTTCTAAAACGGGAGAGGATAAAGGACAGCTATAAGAGGAGACGGGAAAAAGGGGATCCATAATGGGGATAATATTCACTCAATAGCCCTTTTACTCTTTAACGATGATTTCTCGGTTTCTAATAAATTATTCGGAAGAAGGGTTCGGCTGTAGCAGTCGACAATGGAATTCGATGGAATTTTTAGTCGACAAATAGTCGATACAATCATATTTCAATAGAGATTTGACAAATTCTTTAGTTGTTTCAAATTGTTTAGTTATGCTGTTACTTTTTTTACACCACTTGTAAATTTATTTCTTTATAAATATTGCTTAAATGCACGAGATTGACTTCATATAAAGCGTAATGACAACTAGTACCTATAGCATCTATATTATATTTAATAATAAATAAAAAACGCAAACCATTATTAAACTAATATCTAAATATCTTTCTTCATTTACCGTAAAATTACATCAAAATAAATAAATACATCCGCAACTGTTGATTTTTCAAATAAACTTACATTGATCGGCATTGATTTTAAATAGTTTTATAATAGTACAGTGTCTGTGCAATTGTCACTTAGCAAGAGGAATGAGAACAGGTAAAACAGCTGATTTGTTTCTTTGCTCAGTCGAGATTCTCGACAGGTACAAAATACAATGAAGGCGCATTAAAAATGAGCGAGACATATGATATTTTTACCGACAAAAGTTAGACCGGTATTTCGGACAAGTCGTAAAGATAACAATGTTTGAGCTTAGAAAAAGTTGGTCTAAATAAAGATGGTAGTGATAATAACAGCGCAAAACTAAATAATGACAACTACATGGATACTACTGTATAATTTATTAACAACTATTTAGAGATAAGACTTTTAACATTTTAAAATTTATCAAATAGATATACATGTGACTAAGAAAGTATTATCATATATCTTTAAAAAGAGATACCTATAGTCATATATATTATTATCTTGAGAAAAATGATATTAGTAGACATTTAGTACAGAAACAAAGAACACACTTATGTATATAATATAGAATATAAGTGCTCACACGTCACACTAATCAGTACTTTTCTTTTTTTCTGTTGTAGTAGCTGGAGCATTTCCACGGAGAATTGGTCATCCTTATCAAAATCGAACGCCGCCGAAAAGAAAAAAACCGAGAACAAGTTTTACAAGATTGCAAATTGCCGAGCTGGAAAAGCGTTTTCACAAACAGAAATATTTGGCGTCCGCCGAACGAGCGGCACTGGCGAAGTCGCTGAAGATGACGGATGCGCAAGTGAAAACCTGGTTTCAAAACAGACGGACAAAGTGGAGGTAAATTAGCAATATTTTATCACACAATGAAACAATCGCAAATTGTTATTGGCACTCATCACATAGCGACGTTTACAATGATTTGTTGCGACAACTCGTTGTTGACAACTGTGGCGAATACAAATTTCTTTCAGAGTAAAACAAGAAGGAAAAAAAGAAAAAAAAGAAAACGCACGATGTTAGGAAACTATTTTAGGAATGTTAATAGCGGGTTAGTCGCGGGTTGACGCATATATCTGTAAACGCATTGGCAGTCAAATGTATTGGAGTCTATTCAAGATAACAAAAGACAAAAACACGTCATTTAGATAAAAGAAGACCCGTTCGTGTGCGAGTTTGCCGATAGCATGGATGTCTCGACGACGAGATGAGCGACCTGGCGACATTCTCGAGGACTCTTTCTCTCGTATAGAACGTACCTTAGCCATAGTTTTCTTTCTTTTTCTTTCTTTCTCTTTCTTTCCTGTCTCTCTTCCTTTCTTTCCTTCAAAGTTCTCTTGCTTTTCTACATACTTATTATGATATTCTTCGATTATTGAAAATGATGAGTTTTTGTTAACATATTTACAAAAATAGAAGCAAAGATTTTTTACCACAAACGTTATTTACATTAATCATGAGATATTCAGATAGTTCTTCAATTACAAGTACACATATAATTGTATATAAAAGATAATAAATATAATCTACTTATGTGTGTGTGTGTGTGTGTGTAATAACGTAAAGCGGTAATTACATTTGTAAATACAATAGAAAAAATATTGATTTCACAATACTCGGAATAAAATGATTTTCCATAAAATAAAATATTTTAAATAGTCTACCTATAGATAAACAATGACTATTTATGTATCCTATCGTGATAACGTATAACTTAAAACAAAGTTAGGATTAAAATATGAATATTTCCAATTTTATTTGTGATAATGTTGACTAAGTTATCACAGATTTGGTTATAGATATTATTCAATTCTCTGATCTACTTTAAGTATCGAGGTATCTTAAAATTACACGTATAATGTGCAGATAGTTACATATCTAGTAACATTTGTCTCAGAATTAGTGGTAGTTTTAGATTATGGATTGCGTTAATATAACCAAGTTTTCTACTAATTATCTTTTTTTTAAATTATTCTATAACTTTATAACTAAAAAGTTATCACGTGTTAAACACGCTTCTCAATTTAATCTATATTTTTCAGCTCAGAGAAAAAGAAAGAAAAAGAGACACAAACATTTAGAAATTTATTTTTTCATATGTCATATGCATATGGCGGCAATGGTAAAGTTTTTCGTCATAGCACAAGAGAAGTAGACGTAAAATTCAATTTGGAATCCGACGACACGCTTTATCTGTCTCACAGTGCACTCGGAAATGTTATCACCATGACAGATACATTTGTCTAGAATGTTACAACGAATTTACTTCACGCCAGAGTGACAAGTACATCATTTTTAATTAAAGACGCACGCACGACAGGGTAATCATGCGCGATCAATAATGCGTCACCGCTCGCACACGAGAGACTTTTCTCCCCTAGTTGTTATTTCAGAGATAAAAAAATCAGAGAACATATATAATACTGTAAAATCTTGCTTTCTCCGGAGTTTAACTATAGGTAGTTATATAAGTAGGTTTTGATTCTAAATGTTCAAATTGTATGGAAATGTTCATTCGATTTTACCTACTTATGACAAACTGTAAGTTTTGACGGTTTTGGCAAACACAGTAGAAACTCGAGGACCGTGTATTTTTTCTCATCGGAATACGCGTCATAACATAACATAAGCCTAACGCGACGCAGTCCAGCGTGCAGCTGCGTTTAAAGTAACAAGATGACTGTAGGCAGAGATGAGATAACTCGGTTTCAATAATTCAGATACCTAACAGCTTAGCCCTGTCCCGTACATAATGTAGTCTCTTCCCTCCCATCGTTCACCCTCTCCCTCTCGCTCGCTCCCGCCCCTTCCTTTTCGACCCCAGTCGACCTCCACCTATCCGTACTGTGACTACCAATCCTCCGCGTGCCCCGTCACCTCTTTCAGCCACTACTCCTTCGCGGGAGGCGAGAAAGAGAGAGAAAGAAAGAGAGAAAGGAACAGAGAGAGACAGAGAGACAGAAACAGAGAGAAAGAGAGAGCCTTCTTGGCTTTTAAACTGTCAAATGTGCTCTCGAATCCGTTGGCTGAATCGTTTCGATCTCTCCGCCGGGCGCTAACCGACCCCACCGATTCGCCTCGTTAAACATTCATTGGTTACACTGTAGGACCAGGCCAGTAACTGTTTGAACACGATTCGCAGTCTCGACACGATATACTGCGTACGTAATGTAGTGTAAGAAAAATCATTCAGCATTACATTGTCTATTAATTCATAACGGAATCTTCTTAAAAATTAGCATAAAATATAAAAGCAATTGGAAATATATATAACAAGAATATAAAAGATAACAAACCCTGCAAACACAATCGAATTAAACAATTATAATTTATATATTATTGATATAATATTTGTGTAACACATATATAGACAAAAATGATAAAATTTGCAATGATTTAGTTAGTTAGAGATGAAAAACCACGAGCGCTATATCGCGGTTTGAGTACGCGCTAAAGTATAAAGATAAGAGTAATGTGTCCCAGGTTCACGAGAGAATATGGTTATGTCGGCCGCAGCAAATGGGGCGAGACTGCGTCGGGGCTGCAAAATGTAATCGGCACGGTGTTGTCAATTATTAATCCCTAACCGCGTTAATTACTTGCACAGGCGTAGGTGCACCTGTCACTGCCGCAATGGCGCAGCCGCAATAAATTTCGAAGATAGACGCTGATGAACGAGATTCAATTGCGCAAGCGACTAATAGATGCGATAACGTGTTAAATATTTCTGCTTTTTTAATTTGAACTTTCTAAATAAGTAATAATCTAACTCAATTAGTAATTGATCAACAAAACAAAACGAAACGATTTTACGTTCATTAGTATAACAATGCAAAGCCGTAAAACGATTTATTAATTTATTTAAAAAAATAAAAGATATATCTATATGTATTTTTATGTGTTTTAATATATGTCGAAGTACATAAAAATAAAGATATATATTTCTCAGTTTGATTTTTTATAATCAACATGTGTAAATTTTACTTTAATTGGTAAAACTCATCTTTTTCCGTTTAATGGTTATAGTTAAGGAGATTGAACCAACAAGAATAAATTGATAAACAAGAATAATTCATATACTGAAGTAGATTCAAGAATATCTTTGTGATTTTTGAGAGTCGACACGCTAATTTCGAAGACGAGTTATTGATTCTCGGCAACACGTTTCTAGGTATCAGATGAAGAAAATTATAGGAAATTGTCAAGCCATGTTGCTTTCTTGGCAAGAAAAAAGGTAGACGTAAAAGAACATTTATGAGATAATACCTGCGCGATAGTCCGGCAATTTGTAAAGAAGACGCTCGCCACTAATCTTTAAACAACCACGAGCATTGTGGGGTTACCAGATTTGTGAGAAATTATAATGATAATTAAACGGTTCTGTCTTTCGATAACAAACCAGTTCTGTCGTTTTTGATTTATCTTATCGAACTTGAAACAATTCGAGAAACTGTATCTCGTCATAAGATATATATCTCTTTGTAATTATTATAATAAGTAAATGCATTAAAAAATGTATTTTCAATAGACAGTGATGTATAAGATAAAATAAGTTATTATTCGTCATGCTAGATGATCGTGTGCGCGCAAGCTCTATCGACTTTATCAACGAGTCGGCCATTTTGCGGCGTCCTAATAGACTTAACGCTAGAAAACAGACGTCGCTCGAGCAACCCTCTGGCACAAAGTGGCTTCCCGCTCGGTGGTAGTGACGAATCAAATTAACTTTATTACATCCGTCTTCTGTTTTCCACCCAACAACCACCACTATTTTCGCCCTCCTATACTCTGCCTCGTTTCATCCCTGAGAACCTGTTTTACCAGAACTATCGCTGATCTTGCCGTGAACAATTAAAACTTTCGGATTATAATTACTGAAAAAAAAATTTGATAATACTTATCAAGCTTGGATAATAAAATTCTTCTGTTCATCAGTTTAATAACAAATTTCAGACTACACAATAGAATCGATGCGCTTGTCATAGATTTTGACAGCTGCCGAATCATGTCTTTATTTTCTTACATTAAATTATATATTACACTCCAAATGAAATTTGCGATATATTTTATGAGTGTGTTTTGTCAAACAAATCTCTTGATTTGTCGCTAAACACTTTTATTTCTACACAAAGTGAAATTTTTGCTGTTTCCATTTCAGACTATTTTGTGACATGGCAAACATGGATTTATTCGTATTGCTTATCTTTTTTTACTAAAGAATAAGCATACATATCTATCTTATTTAAAATGCAAAAAATGTAAGCAATGCAAAAGATTTCGTGCTTTATGCGCCTATTAGTTTCTTGTGACGATCGACGTCGCTACTGTCAAATCGGACTTGACGCTTAGATGTTGAGAAACTTTGATACCGTTAAATAGTATCGTTGCAAAAAAACTTTATATTCTTCATATTTACTATGAAAGTATCTTGATCTACGACGGTAGAGACTAATGAAAAATACACGAAAATTGCACTCTTAGAGATAATTCAGATTTATGCTCTTGATTTCTATTTTCTATATAAAATAAAAGATAGAAACGATTTGTATTCTCATTGGAAATGCATTTATTTACTGAAAATCGTAGCGCGAGAGAATCGACTGTGATAGTTTCACGGAAATGAGGTTATATATATATTTATAGAAAGTAATACTTTTAGAAAATGAAAATAAGTTATATAACTGAGTTTGCTAATCTTAATAAAAAATATGAAACAAGAATGGAATAAATATTCTTTTTGCGTATAGGGATTTAGAAACAATATCCAGAAAAATTTGTTTGCAGGAGACAAACAGCGGAAGAGAGAGAGGCCGAGCGGCAAGCTACAAATCGGCTGATGCTATCTCTCCAGGCTGAGGCTCTAGGTAAAGTAGCGTACCCAACAACAGTGTCCGGACATCCGGGAGGCGCGGCGGTATCCAGTTTGGACAGGCAGCCAGCATCGACGACTCTGACCCATTCGGTGGGTCAATGGGCTCCTTATGGTCCGCCTCAGCCCCTTGCAGATGCGATTTGTTGAAGTGTAACAACGTGTCGACAGACTTTCACCGTGACTTTATTTTGTCTTATTGTTGTGCATTTTTGCTACATCTTATCGTGATGTCTTTACTTGCATCAAAAAAATAAATTGGATATTAAACTTATTCGTTTGCTGGCGTCGAGACATATACATATATTTTGCTTTACAAAATAACAATAACGAACAAGAAAGGCTTTACTTATTGACCGATTAGGTACAGCAGAAAGTGTTTTGTTTTTTTAAGAATAGTTACGCGAACCGTAGGCTACATACTAAGCATTGCCTTCTGCCTTATGATAGTATAGCGATCACAAGACGTCCTAAAGATGGCAACTTCGAATTAAGGCCGAAAAGAATTACATAGTGCGACGCGGATAAGTGCGCATTATTACTCGAGTGTAAATTATATACAAGTTTTTAATCGAAAATTAAATTAATTCAAAAATTATTTTCAAATACTTGTTCGCATTTCGTACCTATATGTAAACTCGCTAACCTTCCTAATGAATAAACAAAGAACAGCACCGTAAAATCGATTGTACGTTACTTTATATAGCACTTCAGAGCTGTACCATATATTAAGCATGTTAATTCGACATTTTGTCAAACATCTAATTGTCATGACAGCGACTGACATTACGAAGCGATAATCGTCGTGAATTTATTATACATATATGAACAGTCAGGGCACATTTAAAAGCGTCCATTTAACCGCATGAAACAATCACCGCGTAATTAGCTTCAATGTGACATTATCGACACATACTTGTCTTGATCCAATCAAGGGGTGGTGGTAGTCTCAGGAATAAGAACTTCTCTAAACCGTTATTTCCAGATCGCGTTAAACAGACTGGCTGTTTAATAATGTCTTTTCAAGATAATGACATGTTTTATCTATTCTATAAAGAGAAACTGGATCACACTATACATCATGAGTGAATACGCAGGTCCGTATTTATCTTTATTGTTTGCGTGTAGCAGAAGACGCAACTAAATCTGAATTTTTTAAATTATAGATGTAGTACTATAAACATTCACAAGATATTGTTAAGACATCTCTTATTTTGTTCTTTTTAATAGAACTTTTTTCGTTACATATGTGAATACGGACTTTTAATTAATAGAATGGCTCATATAACATATCTGTGTACATACATATAAGCATTATAATTAGACATTGTATGATATACCTACTTGTATACATTCTCTTTGATTGTTAGAAAAATTCGTCCTGTGTATATTTCCGAGTTGCAACGCAGCAAATTAAGCAGCAATTAAGATGATATACATTATATCTTAGAGTAATTGAAACTTTTTGATATAGCCGAAGTGATAAAAGTAGATTAGGTCAATTTGAACAGAAAAATCATGCACAATTTTGCAACATTTGCAATAATTACTAAGATAATTAATATCAGCGCATGAGAAGCGTGATAAGTTTGACTTTGTAAGTGTGTTACTTAATCAATTACTTAATAAATATTGCGTTTTTTGCAAAATAATACATGACTTTTTTATTCAAATTGACTCAATCTACCTTCACACTTCGGTTGTATTAACAAGTTTTGGACACCTTCTGTGTATGTGTGTGTGTCGTGTATGCGTGTGTACAGAGTGCGGCAGAACATATGGCACTAAGAAAGGGATGATTTTTTTGTGCCAAAATAAGTAGAAAACATAGAGTAAAATTTTTTGTGCGAAGCTTAGTTTATGAAAAAATCGATTGTAAAACTTGAAATTTTGATATGATATAGTCGGACCTCTATATTGTTATTTCCGTATTATTATTTTCTTCCTATTGTGAATAAATTTTTCTCTAGAAAGTGACTTTCTTCTCTCATGCTGATATCCCATTACAATACATTCACCATACACATTGTGCATGCGCAGAATGAAAATAACCTTAGTTGTGATCGGTAAATTCTATACTATACTGAAATGCGCTCACTCCTATATTTCGAGATCGGCTAGAAGTGGGAAAAAGAATAGCTATATTAATCATTTCTTTTTTTTCTTGTGAATTTTGATTAGCCAAAGATTTTCTATGATCTGTTTTACAAACATCGAGCATTACAGACACCAATAAATTAGTACGTAAAAATTATGTTTTTAGTTTTTTTAACGCAAAGATAAAATTTTTTAAAACAAAATGTAAAGTTGTAACATATTCATTTCAGTTATATATAATATTATTATGTATATTATAATTTTATACGTGTATATTTTTATAGATTTTTTTATTTTTATTTTCATTTTATATTATTTTTTTGTCTCGCACGTACTGTTTATTCCTGTTATTTTTTTTATTAAGCTTTCCAGTATAGTATAGAGTTCAGTGACTATGGATATAGGAATATCAAGACGGAGCATAATGCTGCAAGACTCCGGCGGGAGTGAAGCTCAAAAAGAATTAAAAATCTAGTTTAACAAATATAATGAGAGAGAGAGAGAGAGAGAGAGAGAGAGAATAAAGATGACAGTGGCGATTCACGGAATACGTTTATTTCCGAAAACACTATTTTTCTATGCTACGCAGATTGGCGTATGGGCGCATACTTTATGTAGCCTATTAGCCATTAAAAACCAATTAAATTTTTTTGCGTAACTTTAAAACACAGCGATGTCTCGGTTACAATCGCGTAACTGCCGCGCGATCGGAAAAATTCTGCTGAACACACCAAAAAGTCAATGATCTTGTCACGTCGAACTACTACAGTTCCCGTTCGATCACTGAAATCGATGTACGAGTCTGACATGGGTGAGTGACCATGGCCAGTGTACTGTTGACGACTTTTTTTGAAAAATGACTTACAGACTTCGTAACAGAGCCATTACATTTAATAATTAACTCACTAGTCGAAACCGAATCAGTTGGTGGTTCGTAATTTAAAAATTCCACTTAAAATTATAAGCTTCTACTCGATTTGTCTCATCTTAAGCGCAGAATGACGTATAAGTAATGATGGCCCACTGTTATAAAACTAAACATAAAAAAACATAAGAAGTAAACAAATGGAATTGATCAATTACAAACAAATATTCTGGAAAATGTCTTATAAACATCACTGTTGATTAGTTATTCTGCTTGCTTTGCTGAAATCTTGTTGCTTATGTACGAATTTAATTTTTATGAAATTTTTCAACGTTATGTGTTAAATTCTTAAGTTTCAAGATGGCTACGCGTTAGAAGACAATGTTCTCTAGAATTTTTATCTGTGATTGATTAATTCCATTTACTTACTACTTAAGTTTTATTATGTGTTTTTTTCTTTGTGTTTTTTATCTTAAATCTACGCTAAATCTGAAGAACTAAGATAGATATAATTTTTTCCATCTTCTTCCAAATTTTACTTCTCGCATTTACAAAAGTATTTTGTGCTTTGTGATATTTCTATGTCCACGAGAAGAAGGTCAGAATCTAGAGATAATTTGATTTCGACAAAGTAACGATAGAAAAATTAGACTGTATTTATTTCTTGTTACGCTTAATTGATCTCTTTTAATAATCTTATATTATACAGCTTTAAATATATTTTGTTAGCAGTTATTGTTTTTTTACATTTTTTATTTATTTTTGCACAAAAAATTGACCCTTTCTTTCCTGATTATATCATCTATCCTGCTGCATCTTTTATATATATATATATATATATATATATATTGTATGTGTATATATATTTATATGTACACATACACAAGCTTTAAATATCTATTTAAGTTGCCTTCACTTTACCTCCTTGACAGGACGGAAAAGAATCATTCTTGACATAGATTTAAAGACCCTTGAGACCTGTTTGAGATCAGAACAATTAAAATTAATTGCTTAGTTATGAAGATATTAAACTGTTAAGAGTTATATAGGCTACCTTGTATAATATATAGCTACCACATACTAGACATGCACGCACATATATTATTATATTGTCGCCTAAATATATGTTATAAACGTAGTCGTTGTTATTATTATTATTATCATTATTATCACAATTACTACTATTATTATCATTATTATTACAATTACTACTATTATTGTAGTAAATAATTTGATGTTACATGGAGAAGTATATGTACCTTATATTTTGTCAAAAAGTTTCAAACGCTCTATATACACATATTATCACAAAAAAGTTTACACACACAAACATGTATATAAACATAAAACTTCTAGAAATTCAAATAATAATGCTAAAATAAGTAAATAGAAAAAATTATTTTTGTTTTAATAATCTATAATTAATACAATTAGTATTTGATTTTTTGAAATAATGATGTATTTTCGTAACACTGAACGTTTAATTTTTTTATGCATTTTATAGTAAATATGCTGATCAATATAAAATGTTTTATTTACTTTAAGAATAGTGTACGCACTCATATAAAAATTGATAAATTTAAGAAATATGAAACAAATCTTGGATAGACCGTTGCTGTAGAATTTATAATTAACACCGCTTAATGTCTACATTTTCTTTAAAATCTCCATTTTCGTTATTTCTCTGTTTAAATTATTATCTTATTACATAACTGCAATATTTTAATATTTTGCATTTGCGTGCAGATTAGTATATGAGTCAGTGTTTTCTCTCTCTCTCTTTCTTTCTCTCTCTCTCTCGTTTTTTTCTTAAACAACGTTTGGCAAATACACAAGTATTTTTTTCTGATCGCCTTAATCTATATCTTTTTTCGTGGAATTATCCTATTTCATCTAGGAGAACTTCTTATGCCGGATGTGGTTGCGTTTACTACCTATAATTGCAGAGGAGATACGGCGCGTTGTCCCGCCCAATTATTTGGGGACAAATATCCGCCACCAGCAACGAAAATTCCAAATGTTTCGTACAGGATGTATTCGTGAATCAAGAGGTGAGATACGTCTTAGTAAATGAGAAGTAGGATATAAAGCTTAAAAAGTGATTATGTAATTTAATGTGTGACAGGTGTGTGCATCAAATTTAATATCTTCGAAATAAACCGGATAATACTATTAATATTATTTCAAGTTCGAAGTTTCTTTTTTCTCAGCTTTTTTATAACATATGTAATACATGTAATCGTATTATTTTACACAACTATATAGCATTATTTACTGATGTATGTATGTGTGTGTGTATTTATTAATCTTTTTCACTGATAATTTAGTTATTGTATTTATTAGATGTTAAACTTGTATGATACTTGATACTTTCTCTCTAAAAGCAAATAAGATTTACTAAATTTCTTAAAAGAGCGTATTTGACAAAAGTATTATAAATATTTCCGCCGTTTAGCTGGTAAGAGAGAACAGTTTTCGACAAATACCGTGCTACAAACCGCCGACCAAGCGGCGCGTCATCAGAGGCCTGTAATCTTGTTTTCCGAACGAAGATCTTCTGCGGTATTTCTAGTTTTTATATATATATATATATATATATATGTATATATATAACACACACACACATATATATATACATATATACCGTCAAGCGTCAGTGACCAATTATGAGAATCCCAAGTATCAAGACGTACAAAGCTTTACTTATTTAGTTTCACAACTGATATAATCTGTATGTGAGAATTATTCTTTTACTTTTATTTTTTTAATATTCTAGAAATATCGATTTTCTTTTTTTCTTTGATTTAACTCAAGAAAAATTCAAACTTGTTCATCGGTTTTAAATTTGTTTATAAGCTAACAGATTTCGCGTTTTAGGAATCCATTTAAAACCTAACTCTATCAAAATCTGCAAGAAATAGAAAATTTTTGAAAGACTCTTTTAGATGAAATTGTGATTAAGAATTTCAAACAAATGAAATAACTAAATAATAGAGATAAAGAACGCCTATGGCATGTCTAATTTTAAAAAAGTGCTCGTACATATCACTTTTATGTTTTTATAAAAGCTATTTCGTACATGCGACTAACAGATAGTAGCAACCATGATACATTATAGAGAAGAATATTTCCCTGTATTTATTAAGCAAGATATAAGCTTTGTAATAACCGACTCGTGTGACTTCTAGCTTTTCTCTTAAATGATAACAATGCTCAAGCTTCAAAAAGATCCTAAATAAACATAGTGGGAATAACTCGGTTACAACAGCGCCAAATAAATTAATGACATCTGTACGAAGATTATTGTATACCTAACATCGATTTTCGTCTAATTGAATATACGTGAATAAAATTTTTAACAAAATTTGTACGAAGGTGAACAGCGATAAAATGAGTCCATAGAGAATATAGAAGTGATGTTAATAACGTCGTTCTGTTTGATCGCCATTTCTGGTACTATATTGCATATTGCCACACACAGAGTACGCGTACATATGTATGTGCACGCACATGACACGCGGGAGCGTGTTTATAAAATCATGAGGCGGCGCGTTGCTATATTTACACGCGAGTATAGAAAATTTATTGTGATTGCGCTTTCCGCGAGAGAACCGACGCTACGCTTTTTCCTCGCTATCGCCGCGTTGCCGAATGGCGGCTCAATTTCGCGACAGCAACAACCAGCCGCGCTTATGGAAATTGATAGTTTCGATGAAAAATAAATCCGCACGACACACGCTCGTCGATCTATTCGGAAATATTTTCAGAATTATTGTGCATGAGACGTAGCGAATCATATTTATGACTTTTGGGCACTTTAAAAAACCTTGAATATAAAACATGTCAAGTTTTTTTTAGCTCAAATTTCAAATGGAATTAGACTAAATATCATTTCAGGCGAGTATGTTGTTTCGTAAAAAAGATCTCAATATCAACGATAATTAATACATTAGTATAAATAAAGTGATTGCGTTCGAAAAAACGATGTAATAGATATCTTAGAAAGTATTTTTGATCGTATGTAGGAGATCGATCAATTTTTGGTGGCCGTTAAATGCCTTTTGTAAAATACAGCGTCGAAGCACCGTTTATTTCCTGCTCATAAAACTGGTCCCGCCACAACTATTTTGTCGAGTAGTTTCTATATTTCCGATCGTTTGCGGTTTCGTCACGACGGAAACGTTCGAGCGGTGTTAAAATCGAAACCGCTTTTTTGTTTAGTTAGACGCCGCGCCGCCAGACAGACGGGTGATCATGTCCTTATGTGGATATAATACATATATCGACGACGCCAAATCGCATTCAAAGCACACTATGTATTATGCTTATGAAGGTTGTCTGTTTAACGGAAAAAAGATAATATAAGCATACAAAAATTAAACAAATAATTTAATATATATTTCGAGATTTTTATAAAAGTAATTTGATCATGAAATTGTAATCATCTTACGTGATTGTTATTTCATGAGTAAGTCAATGTCTTGTTTAAGACACAACGTACAATGCAAACATATCTTTTCATAAGAGAAGATCGCGCACTAGCAAAAGTAATAAAAGCAATGAGCAAACATAACGTGCTCGAGACGGAAATTGTACTTGTCAAACGCTTTTCCGTCGTTTCACGCTTTTTCGTTTTCAACTACGTGGCGCTTGAAACTACGCGTTCCCTTCTCGCCCGACAAACGACAAGCGACAGACGACAGCTCGAAAAAGGCGACAGCCGTTCCTGATCCGGTAGCGAGGCTCCCATTTAGGATGATTGCACGATTTTATGTATTTATACCAGGGAGCCGTCAGGCAGCTTTTCACCGCGCCGACATTTCTGTTTCTCTATCGCTAATAGGAATTTGCTTTCCAACTTGTATATATATATATATATATATATACATGTGCGTAAAAGAACAGAATTGAACACCACACATAAAAATAATTCTGAAGCAATGCCTCAATATTTTTTCAGAAGGTAATACAACTATCATTTTCTCTGATTCCGTCCCTTCAAAATCAATTCTCTCTCTCTCTGTCAGATCTTCACTGCAGTGTTTTAAGTATATTTTATTTATTCTAATATCTCTTGTATATGTATATTATTATGTCTCTAAAATATTGTGTCTCTAAAACTTTGAAGAGACGCATAGGACAGATCGTATATCATTCATGCTATGACTCTTATATTCAACGAAACTCCATCAAGTCTTACATTATTCCTCGACAGGTTGTATTTTGCGATCGTTACTATTTATTTTACGAGACTACAAAAAGTGTCGACTATCAGACTATATCACATATATATATGACATATAATTTAGCAATACTAATATTTATATCATGACAAATATTTCATATTATTAGAACATAAAATACACAATTTTAAGTGTTTTTTTTTACAATTAGTAAATGTGTGTCTATTTCTCTAGAGAGATATCTTTCAGGTTCATTTATGTCTTCTTCAGAAAATGTTTATATATATTTTATTCAAATTATATTTTATATAAAAAATGTTTGACGATCAAAATTTATTGTCTTGTTAAAGTTGTTTAGAACATCCAATTGTTCATATACTGGCATCATTTCCAAGATTTAATGCAAAATATTTGCGAAGGGTATGGGGATTGTTCGTCGGTTATTCCCGCGAGTATTAAGATCAAACTAGCTGAAAATGGCTGAAGCCGGCGGCACGTGCGAGTGTGTGTGCCACCCTTGTGATGACTGATTCGTGCGTACTTGACGAAGACACCGAATATACGGAGACGATACCGAGCGTGCGGTATCGTCAGGACGTTTTAATATTTAATGCGATTAAACTCATTTCGTCCCGCCTGCCGTAATTGGTTTCTGATTAACAGCTAAGTTTTAAGTGCATTAGCCGTGTGCAATAGTTACGTACGCCCCGACGTCGTCAGCCAATAATCTTGAGTGCTGCCGAGTGTCTCGAAAATCGTCACTATCAACATCGACATTGAACTTTAAATTAAACATACCGATTATTACAACGTCATTTATCAAACACTTTGTTTTGGACACAAATGTGCTTCCATACTGATAAAATATCATCTTTTGTACGAAACACATTCCTATTCCCTTTCTCAGTGAAATCGCGTGTGTCGCGCGCGTGACAATCAAAAATTAATCTGTTATTTTGCTCGAACGATCCTTATCGCTAACATCTGATACTTGGGCTCGAATGTGAGAGCACAGTACTGCAGCGGGAGATAAGTTGTCCGTAGGGATAATCCATGGACTCAGCGAGTGTCTCTATTCGGCATGGTTTCACTCCATCTTCCGTTGACAGAGAAAATCCCTCATGTCGAGTACTTACCAAAGACCGTTTGCGATCTATTCTATCGACCGACTGTCCAATTAAGAAAGCAAAACTTAATTAGCCGTCATGATTAAATCAGAATTGGTAAATTCGAAGAAACGCGCGCGATAGCTGTACGAATTTAGTTCCGACGTTTCTAAGATTGTAATTTATTGATTGTGTTGTGTTGATGTTTACAAATCAATTTAGACACACATATTGAAATAACAGGGATATAATGTAGCTTTTAATATTATATTCATATACACAAATATTATATCTTTGAAAAGTTTTCTCTCTTATAAGCAATAGCAATTTATTATAATCTGACAAGAACTAAGTGTCTCTATCTACATATATTCGCTATATGCTACTTCTTCGAAGCAATCAACATATGACAAGCATCACACCGAAAGAATATAAATTTCAGTAATTTTCGTCGTTCTGCATTTTCTCTCGACGCAGCTGAAGGGCGTAATTATTTGTGTGAATGAGCTTCTTCAGTTTATTCATAAGGTCACACTGAATCAACAACGGCTGGAAAGATATCAATTTACATATTTTATATATGCATATTTATTCAGATATGTACGTATATATTTATTCAAATATAATTTAATTATATCATCAAAAGCACAGCACCGCAATTATATCTGTAAAAACTATAAAATTTACTTGGTCATCAACGTTTCCATGCAGCAACATCTTCAATCTTTTCACGTCGCCGCTGGTTAAGTGTACGTCTCCTGGATTGGATATTTCTGCCGAATTCGAAAACCCAAATCGCTTGCCGTTGGTCCATCCGTGACTATATTGAAAGGTTTGACAAAGTACGATGCTTATAACCAGTGACAGAACGAGAAGAATGAATATACACTTGTTGGCCATCTACAAATACAGGTGTTATATATGTGTGTACATGCATTTAGGAAAATTCTTCCGCTTAATTGTATGTAATAGTATATAATACATAGAAATAAAAACATAAAAAGAGACAATCAATATATTGCTTTTTTGTCACATATTTACAGTATTGCTCCACGTAACAATTGCGGATAAACATCTTGAAACTTATTTTTGAAAACAATCATTTTCTTAATCGTAATATTTTATTAAAAAGTGATAGTGAGAGAGATATGTGCAAAGAAAGTAGTGTTTTTTGAAAATTTTGTGTGCACGCTCAGCCTTGTTTCGCGTGCTAATTTTAAGAGGACCATTAATGCTACGAGCGTCCCCGGTCATTAAGATAAGCGTAAGTGCTACTAAGTGTTCGAGCAGATAAAAGACGTGACCAGCATCTCCGTCGTATAGAGATAAAACGCTTTCTGTGCCTTTGGAGGAACGCTAGCAAACATACGCGGGACACACTGTGTTCACCAATAACATTAAGCGATGTTTAATTTTGTAACAAAATACGAAAGAAGACTTCGAGATTAGAGCACCTTGGAAAATTCCACAATATTACGTACATCGATGAAAATTATTTCTTATTTAATTTCATAAATTACTGTTTTAGATAATTTTAAATCTTCTTTACGTATGTGCGCATACAATTAAACAATAAATGCCATTAAAAAATAATTAGATACTGTTCGCGTAATTGCTTGTTCTTTGTGATTAATGTGTGTATCGTTTGTCACTTTACGTCATCTCGATTAAACCAATAGATATTAAAATAATTAATTAATTAACTAAGATCATTATTTCCGCAACTACAAAATGATTATATATTTTCCAATATTAGCAATTTTTTCTGATAGCATGTTAAAATATAACTGTTAAAAAAAATTGTTTCACAAAATAAAATAAAAACCTTGTCATCAAGAAACAAAACAATTTTTATTGTTTTCTAGATTTTTTGTTTCGTGCTGACTTGTGTTTCGTAATCTATTAACAGCTGCATAGCTAAATTATACAGCGTGCCTACGTTTTCCTGTTAGTTTATCTGCTAATTATGTATTATTTTTATGTATTTATTTTTTTATATTGATATTTTTATTATTCTTATTCTTATTCTTTTTGCATAGTTAATTGTATATATTTGATGTATATATTTTTACGAGGAATATGTGTAGGAATATATATTACAGAATTCTTGTGTTTTATCGTATAATATATTATCTTATATATTTCCCAGAGAACATTACGACATTATTAAAACATCTTTTAGACGTGCATGCTTGGATATATGTCTACAACATTTACCATACAGTCATATCGATTGCCGATAAGTCTTACTTAGAACGAGCAAAATATTGTCGGAAACATAGAGATCTATAATACACTAGACTGTGATGCTCGGATTCACTAGATATATATATAATATGGCTGCGTTCCAAAATTTACTAACAGTACTGTGAATGTGACGTCATTAACCAATTACAGACCAGTATTATTTTACATTCTTAGTTAGAAAGCTTGTGATTGGTTGGTTTGCTTTTTCCTTACGACTAAAATTCTGTCATGTGCAATGAGCTTAAACTTTAACCACACGAAACTCAAATAATTATTAATATATCCAAACTGCTATGTGCTTGTTATTTTTATATAAAGAATAGTGCGAATTAAATTTTTAAAATCAATTTAAGTTATTCAAATAGCCAAGTATACTTAAAAGCTCTGTTAAAATCGAATATTAAATTATTATTTCTCTTTACACTCTTTTAATTTTAATATCAAATATAAAATAAATACTTACCTGGATAAATAATTTTTGCTTTCTTTTCTTTTTATGTTACTCAAACGATATGTTCTCGCAGAAGGTTCTGTTAAAAGTGTGTCTCGATTTGGTCTGAGAGGAGTTTTATATAATAGTGTGTATGTATATTCTCGCGGAAACAAGCTGTATTTTTCCCGAAATAACGTTAATATTGAGAAGCAAATGTGATAGTACAAAACCAATAATTTTCTAGTAATTAATATTAGCTGATATTGTTATGCGAAAATTATTAGCTCAATTTTGCACTTTCAATTAGTATGTGTGTATGGTTAATAACCATGTTAAGAATTAGATAATTACGTAGAGGCGTATCTATACAGATATAACGTTTATCTACTGGACGTCCATAACTCCATGTGACGTCCACTGAACATGAAAGTTTGTATAGAAAGTTCCATGTGGATAATTTTAATGTACACTCTATGGTATTCATAGAATCTTTTTTTTTTAAGATCGTCTTAAGTTCATTCTCAAATAAATCGAATGGCAGCATCCAGAAGCACAATTATTCACTGAGCAGTTAAGCAATCAAATGTGATTGGTTCTTACTTTAAATTCAACCAATCACAATAAATTGCTATTTAATGCCGATTTCTTCATACCTCCTGATAGCTATCCTCTGGATAAAGATATACAAATAAGGCTGCGTTCGGGGAGCACGCTCTCAGCGCTATTGCGTCAATCTATTCTTGTTTTACATCTAATGAGCAATAAAAATAAAATGATGCAACAGCGCTGATAGTGCACTCCCCGAACACGGCCTAAGTGTATCTTTTAAGGGTCGTCTACAATGGAGAGTTTTAGACCGTAACAGTAAGAAACTGACAAATCACAATCGATTATTCTTCTGTACTTAGTCTGTGATTGGTCAATTTCTTACTATTACAGCCTACAACTCTCCATTGTAGACGACCCTTTAGGAGACACAGTCGACACAAGAGTCATTTTGTCTTTGTTTCTCACTGAATACTGAACAAAGACAGAATGACTTTTGTGTCGACTGTGTCTCCTAAAAGAAAAAGCAGCCAAGTTATCGAAAACTTATCAAAAGTGAAGAAATTGGGCATTACCCGCTTAGTGAGCGGTTATGCTCCTGGATGCAGCTAATAAAACAACGATTCATATACACTCTTGAACATAGAAAAAGATAGACGTAGTTCTGAGGAAGTGTTTTCTCTATCGTTTCTATGGAAAATGAGAAAGTGCAAGAGAGACATCTCTATCTCGGAATATCTTTTTCTATGTGTACCGCACCGAAGGATTGGTATAGGGAAACTCATATCGCATACTGTCAATGATATTACGCTACTGTACTGTGAATATATTCTGCCTCTTGCTTGTGACTTCAGTTTTACAAACGCGTGGTTCGATTTGTCTTTGCAAATAAGCAGCGTAGAAAGACCGTCGTCGCCAACGTCAATGTGTGTGTAAATTGTGTCACATCGTTTCCGTCATCATCATCGTCATTGTCATCGTTGTCGTCTCAATGGTAGTTCGTCAATCAAGTTCCTAGAACAGTGCATCAGACTTTTGTGCTTGAAAGATACGTGGAGGTTAACAAGAGAACGTTAAACATTACATAAAAAACACTACATCAGGAAATTGCAACATGTCGACGGCACGAGGGTTCCGATCGTGTCAAGCTTAGTGACGGTTCCTTCGGACTGTTCCAATGACGTCAGCGCATCACGATATGATGGAGTCCATCAGAAAATGGTTTTACAGACCTAAGGTAAATACGTCACACGTTTTTTGTTGTGTGCCTTCTGTCTACTTATGCTTCTTTCTTCTCTCTCTCTCTCTCTCTCTCTCTCTCTCTCTCTCTTCTCTCTCTCTCTCTCTCTCTNTTCTCTCTCTCTCTCTCTCTCTCTTCTCTCTTTCTCTCTCTCTCTCTCTCTCTTTCTCTTTCTCTTTCTCTTTCTCTCATCCATCTAGCTATCTATCTATTTATTTATTTATTTCTTTATTTATTTATTTATCTATCTATTTATCTAGCTTTCTTTCTTATATTTGTCATCTATTTTCTTGCTTCTGTGCTTTTAATTTTATAATCTTTATATTCTATTTTACTTTTAATTCCTGGTATTGTTGTATTAAACTCGTGCCAGGTTGTTTTGTCAGCAAATCACATTACCGTTGAATAAATTTAATTTTCTCTTTTTTCTGACCAAAATTTGTTCTGATCAAACATATATTTGTTCGGTTTCTTTCTCTTTATCTTGTCCTCTCTGTGGTATACCTAAGCGCTGTTGCCACCTGTTTCGTGAAAATTCACACGATACAACACACGTATGCGCATATAATAAATGTATATACACATGCATAAATGCGACCGCTTACGTGCACAATATTATGTGCACGCACTTATCACAAGTCTTGTAGTACGTGCACATATAATTTGTGAAATTCGTTTGTGAGTGCGATCAGTTAGTAACGGATTTTCATACGAGCAGGTGTATGTCTCAGGGCTTGCATTTTTAAAAGGTCTCTAAATAAAAATTAATTCATTTTAAAGATTTTATTTATAAAGTTTTAGTTTTATTAGAATTAATATAAAGTCTAGATTAGATAAAAAATTGCCGAGGTCAATTGTATAATATTGTTAGTATTTTTTTCTTTATATAGTTGTTTGTGATAATTAATTTTATTTGTTATTGAGTTGAATAAAAAGTATTTACACTCAAATTTAAGCTACAAGTAAATTGCTCATATCTTGATTCATAATCGTTAGTAGTTTTATTTGTAGTTGTTTGTATAATGAAAATTTCATTGTTTGTAGTTGAATTGTTTCCAAGATATAGCTATAGAATGTTATTGCAAAAATGTAATGTGCAAATAACAAGATATTTATGGTAAATGTTTTTTTATCTTATTTCGAGTTTTGTAATTAAACTGTTTGCGCGGGTTTTGTTAAACAAAGGAAGTTGCAAAATTACGATTTTTGCAAACAATTAAATATTAAAATGTTTAGTTTTTCTAATTAAAGTGTAATTTTATTACAGAGAGACGACACAAGTCTGTTGGCTCAATTCTTTTATGCTGATGAATCCTTAAATGCAGTTGCCTGTGAACTAGATTCCTTCGACGGCCGACAAGAGCCGGAAAGATGCACAACGCTAGTGAATCAACTGCGACACTGTCAAGATAAAGTACTGACGATTTGTAATCAAATCATGGATGATCTGATTCCTGAAAGTCGTGCTAATCGGGACTTCAGAGTGAAGTTTCCCGATGACGTGATGCAGGAAAATTTGGCTGGTCAGCTTTGGTTTGGCGCGGAATGCTTGGCTGCTGGTTCGTCGATCTTAAATCGAGAAGACGAAAGCTCGGCTATGAGACCGTTAGCAAAGGCTCTTACTAAGTCACTAGAGATTGTCAGGAACTTATTGAGAGAGCACGCGCTCAAAGGTCACATGAACTTGAAGGTATTATATGTATGTGTAATAATAATAATATATAATATATGTGTCTATGTATATATATAAATGTCTTTATTTCATTATGACAATATATACATAATTTTTAACTGCATTAATATAGAAATTGCCAGCAGCTCACAGGTTTACTCTTAATTTGTCAGTTTAAAAGTAAAAAGTTAACATAAAAGTGTTTAATGACTAGAAATCTGTACAAAACCTACATAATTTTGTTGTAATTCTTCGAGTTCTACCAAGAACTTTACATGTTTATACAAATAAGCTTTGTCATTGTTATAATTCTAATAATTTATAAAATTATATTTCATATATTTTCTGCAGAGAAACAGAAATAAATAATAGCCTTATTTGATTGTGTATGATATGTACTTTTTGTGTGATCTTTACTCGCACTAGGTAAATAATCAGATGTAGTAATAGCAGCTTTTACAGACACAAAATCCGCTTGAACCATCCTTGGAGAAGCTCATTGAATCTTTGAAAATTTTCGATCGACTCTTTGCTGATTTTGAACTATGTTATGTGGGCGCTATGGTTCCGGTGAAGTCGACGAAGGAGTATGAGCAGCAGGAACTCGTGTGCGTGCTGTTTTCTGAGACTTTACAAAGAGCGCTTAAACGTGGGCTGCTGAATCAAATAGATGTAGATAATTATGAACCGGCTTTAATGTTTACTATTCCTCGGCTGGCTATTGTTTCGGGACTTTTGGCACCGCCAGGAGGGCCGTTGTGTCTCAACTCTCCTGATACTATTAGCGAGATGTTTAAACCATTTAGGGTGAGAAGCAGAGATAAAGTTATTATTACTTACCAAATATTTAAACAATTTTGGTTTGAAACTGATAAAAAATTAATCCTGAACTGTTGTATTCGGCATTTTAAAAATGAACTTTGAGTTTAATGCGTTGTAATGATTTTTAAAAATTTATACAATTTCTTCTCTTACAGACTCTTCTCCTCAAGATAAGAGAATTATTATGGACCTTAAACAATCACGAGTTGTACATATTAGAAAAGTTATTATGTTCGAACGAAGAACTGTCAGGCTCAATTACGCAATCAACGAAATCATCGTGTCAGGACATACCTGATATGGAAGAGTATGTTCATAATTTTTATACTGGTTATCCGAACTGCAAGGAATTCATTGTTGACTTCTACACTGTGATACGAAACACGGGTAGCAATATGGAAGAGGTAGCGAGCGATGCAGTTCAGTCTTTGGACGAATGTAGCAAAAGTGATCAGCTATCAAGTAAAAAGTATGAGAAGACTACAGAAGAATATAGTAAGAAAACAAATGACATGGAGACTGAGTCCAAAGATTTAACTATATCTTCGGACAGGTATGATATCGCAATGTGCGAAGATTACGACACAACGCAGCAGCTAAGTGATGGAGAAAGTGTCAGTGAACAAGTGCAATGTGAACAAGAATCGTCTAACGCCTCGCGTAACAGTAGACATTTTTCTAATGATTGTGATTTTATTTCTAATGACAACACCAATGAGAATTTTGACTCAATAATGCAGACTGCAGATATAAAATCGGATATAGCAGGAAGCAGCGGCATTTTGAACATAGAAGATGAGCAAAATGAAGAAAACTTTATTACTCCCGAGATGACGCAAATGCTTAAAGCATGTCCTCATACAAAGATTCGATTTCGATACCTGCTTAATCAAGTGACTCATGAAATTGTACATGGCGAAACTGGACGTATCTCTGAAAATTCTTTGTCCGATTTGGATTCAGAGAAACTTATCTCGGAAGCAAATAAGAGTCTTTCGAATCTTCTGCTGGAATCTAGTCAGTGTCAGAATGAAAATTCGGAGCAATCAGACTCTGGCATATGCACAGTAATATCGTCCGAAAACACTAGCTTGTATGACAAAAGTCCGGAAGAAAAGAAGACCTTCGCCAACGAAATTCAGCAGGAGGAACGCTGTGCTTCGGATGAAGAAAGCAGACACGAGAACACCAGTTATTCTTGTTCTAATATGAACTCACCGAAGAAACAAAATTCTGCTATCACGGAGAACACGTGTGTTTGTAGCACAAGGAGCATCAACAAAGCAATTGTGCCTACTTTAGAACACACCATCGAAATGCCTGATTTACAATCGAATAGCGAAGAATCCACCAGCAAAAATATTACACAAATATCGTCAAACTTTGATGGCACTAACGAAGAATTTATTGGTGTGACATATGGAAATGGCCAGTTAACAATTTGTGATTCTATTCAGTCAACCTTTCAGATTAACTATTCCGAGAACTGGGAAAATCTAAATTTGAATATCGATGCTTCGAGTTCAAGAAAAGAATTTTGGAGCGATTTAAAGTGCGAGAATTGCCCATCTACTTCGCAGAGTATCGATAAAATAGGAAATAAAAGGGAGCAGTGCATGCAAGATAAAATGACAGCAAAAAGAACAAAAGACGAAAAACAGCGAAAACATCATGATCACAAATTAGACCGAAATACCCATAAAAATCATCAAAGTAAAGGTGAAAAAAAGCAGAGTCTACATACTATGGAATCAACCATCAGTATAGATAATTCAAGATCGAATTCTACGGATCGATATTTAAATTCTCGTCTGACCAACATAGGCGGCGGTTTACATTTCGGCCAAAATACTAGACAGATGCCGACTTTTGGTAGTTACAGCCCTCACATGAGTCCAAGACTGCATCATTTTAAAACACGTAGCGCATCAGGTTCGGGACAACACTATTCTAATGTTGGCACACCTTATGCCAAAAAAAATTTGTCGCCACAGAGCAGAAAATTGTTAGATCACAGAAGATCCAGATCCGAGCAGATCGCCAAAATCAAGAGAAAAGATATCGGAAAGCGGGAAAGGTACGAACGAGACAAATACAAGCGTTCTGACCAAACTAGGAGAAAGATAAGTAATGAAAGTTCTGCTGGTCTGATAAACGATGGATTGGGTCCAAGAACAGACGTGAGCGGTCTCGCAATAGAAGCTTCTGTAATCACGACAAAAAATAATCATGAAGTTAAAAGCACGAAAGACAATAATTCGCAAAGATCCACTCGAGCGATGAAATTAATCAACGCGTCGACGGTATCCGGCATGACATGTATGAACTCTGATCAATCGGTAGTTTATAAATCTGATGTAACTCCAAGTTCCAGTTGCTCCAGCTGCTGCGATTCGAGTTCAGAAACTAGTGAATTTCACAGCGATTGTCAGGACGACGAAGAGATCGCGTTAGCGATGCAAGCTGCCGAAATCGCAAATAGAAATCAGATCAGAGCCAAATTTCGGTAAAAAATACATTGTTGTTTCTTTATGTATCATACTTATCAAATTGTTTCCTGTATTATGTTTCTTTTTCGTTCTTGTTCTTAAAAGAATATTCCTGGAATAAAATAAAATACCTTTGTAGGTCATCAGAAGATTTAGTCCATCGTCTCTTCGTTTGTATAGCGGGCGTGGCGGATCAATTACAAACAAATTTTGCATCGGATTTAAGAAATATTTTGAAATGCGTTTTTCTTATGAACAGTAGTCAAGTAATAGAAGATGCCGAAGGATCAAAAAATGACAATTCAGCCTCCAAAATTCAGTCAACAGATGATACGGTGGAGACAAGAAATATTAACGAGCAACAAGAGCCATCGCCAGAATATGAAACAAACATAGAGGAATCTACTTTAACACATGACCGAAGTAAAAATATATTTCGCTTTTATATATATTTTTACTCTTATTAAAATGCACGTAACATTGGATTTATTAAAAAAAAAATGATCAAGCTTTAATTTTACAAAATATGTAGACATGTATCATTTATATGTATAATTACATAAGTAAGAGAGTTAATTATTACTATAAATGTCTTATTAACTTTTGCAGCTTCCCTTGTTACTGAAAGAGGAGAGGAATGCGTCGAAAGAGCACCTGCTTGGGTGCCAGATAATAATGCACCAAGATGTATGGCTTGTCAGGCGGGATTTACAGTTGTGCGGCGTAGGCATCATTGCCGAAACTGTGGTAAAGTGTTCTGCGGTCGTTGCAGCAGCAACAACGTTCCACTGCCTCGTTATGGACACACAAAACCTGTCAGAGTGTGCAACAGGTGTTTCCTATTCCAGGTGACGCCCTTTACGGTCTCTCAAGTCACATCTACTAGCTGAATATTTGTAAAGTGGCTTATTAATTCGAGTATTTTCTATTTGATTCTCTATGTGCTGTATCTTCTTTCAGTGTGCAATGTACTCGCGCAAATTTGATAAGTTTTTCGTAATAAATTATTATTCTTATAATAGAGAAAAAATATTTCAAAGTTCTAGATAGTAACACTAAAAAGAACATATTGTGTAACTATGGCAAATTTGTGGTGTGGTTCTCCTTTATATATTCACCGTGTACAGTTTCATACACAAACGTAAAGACAACTTACAGTTTTAAATAAACGTCGAACTATTTAGAAGTTCGAAGTTTATTAAATCATTTTCGAAAACGTTTGTTATTTAAAGAAATTCTCATAGCGAAATGGTTGCAAACCATTACTTTCTGAAAGGAAACTAACGATCAGTAGAAATTTCGCTAGAATAATCGGATTTCAGCTCAGATGGCTTAGTCAGCAGTCTTCTTACAAACTGAGCCATGGATCGATGTATAATTTGTAAGCAAGTAAACTTAAAAGAGGTGCGTTTATCATATGATAAAAGAAAAATGAAGAAAAAAAAATCACTGTCATCAAACCGTTTTTGCACGTTGTTTACATATTTTACGTGCGCTTAAGCTATAAAGATAAATAATATCGCCGCTAATTGCTTATATTTTTACACATTGTGATTATGTATTTTAATGAAAAAAATTCTCAAAATTGTTTTATTTTCTTTCTATATAATTTCCATTTTTTTCTCATATTTTTCTTACATGAAAATATGAACAGTTTTTAAGCATTTTCAAAAAGAATTTAGAAACAAGAAGATTTATATATGAAAATATAAATATCAAAAAATTTCTCCAAAGTTCGTAAATGTTAGTAAGTTTTGAACTAAAATAAGATTTTTTATTTTTATTTTTGAAAAAACTTCTAAAATTCTAATACATTATTTTGCGCGTCTCAAAAGTTTTCCTAAATTTAAAATATAACCTCTTACAAAAAAATTTCAAAGAAGTTTTGCATCAGTGTATTATTCAAGAAAATGTTTCAATCTATGACCGATGTAACAACACAATTTGAATTAAATAGTAATAGAAAAGCATTTGTAAATTGATCCAATTGTTTACAAGAATTGTCTTCTTATTTAAGAGATAAATGATTGTATAGAGAATTATCTACTTATCAAGAGAATGAATTACTATTATTTGTGTATATAAATATATATATACACTATAAGTGTGTGTATGTATATGTGTATGTGTGTATGTACTATACTGTATAATGTACACAACGAAGCAATGAATTGGTTTTACAAGAGAGGAAGAGCTTCTCTTTTTGCGCTATTTTTCACCAGTTCTTAGCAATTAAGAGATTACTGGAGCATATTATATACGTATATGTCGTGACTCGTGACTACTGTTATCGACACAAGTGACATCAAAATGTCGTTAGAAAAAAAAGACTAACTTATGTAAAAAGAAGTTATGTTAGTCAAGACGTATTTTGCATCGGCGTATAAGCGAGTTGAAGAGTTAAAGCTTGCAAGTCACTAAAAAGTCACGTATTTTGCGTTATATATTTCTGTGTTATACACTCTAAATCACACACACACAGCCAGACACACTAATGGTCTCATTACTCTTGAATGTTTATCCTACATTGTTAACTTGTTCAATTTTGTATATTATCTCTTAATCTTTTGTATCAAGTACAAATATAAATAAGGTAAAACTAAGTTAAAAACAATTTTTCTGTTTTTGATAGATTTAAATTTTGACGGAAGTCCTCATATTATTTTCTTTTATTCTATAAAAGCGCGTTTACAAATCAGAGCAATAAGTACGAAAAACAAGAAAAACCTATAATCGTGCTTTTGATCAATACAGCAGACATATCCAATAGATTCTTATAGACAGCAATTGTAAAAAAATTGCGCATAGTGAAGAACTCTTTTTTTCTTTTATAAAACCAATTTATTGCTCCTTTATGTACACGCACTATTTTTATTATTATTGATGTTACGTTACTTGCGTTAAAGTAATTATCAGTGTTATTATTCTTATTATTTTACCATATAAGTTTATTCCTGATAGAGATTTTTTGTTGATTAAAGAATTATTCATATTTTTTTCTCTAAGTTATATACTTGCACAATTTTATTATAAATAGAAGCTCTCTTTAATTTTTTTTAATTTAGAAGTAAGAAGCCTGCAGTACATAATGTTTTTAATTTTGTGCTAGATTGCATGCAAGCGCCAGAATTGACTAATTATGATTGAAAATCGAAGAATTGTCAAATTGTGACGCCGGCATGCAATCTAGCACGACAAAAAGCATCGTAGGCTTAATAAAACAAAAAAATAAGAGATTAACGCAACATATATTCATTTACTTATCAACATGTTCAATAATCACAGTATATATGAAGAATATTCTTACGTGATATTAAAACATCACGTACAAATCAGGATTTTCCCTGTGCCTAATGTCGCAGGTTAGTGCGCGTAAATATAAACTTTATAAAAGTAAAAAAAATAAAATAAAATAAAATAAAGAGATGAATTTTCCTGGTGGAAATATATATATATATATATTTTACTGAGACTATATATAAGATCCATTTATACACAGCCGTTTTGTGTTTGCCGTATCGCAACCAGAACAATAGAATTGTATTATACCATACTGAGCAATGCATAAACTACATTTAAAAAATATGGTAACTAAATTTTTTTGTTACTCCAGCTGAGATACAGAACGGCTATGTATAAATCAACTAGACTTCAATTATCGATTTTTGTTATTTAATTAAGATAAATAAAAATTCACACTACGATACATTATAATTTTGCAAATTTTAATATATGATTGTCAATGTCCTAGTCTGTTACTCCAAATGAAACTGTTGATATAAGCTTTTCCATAAATGTACCTAAACCAAGTTTTTTATCTGTTAAACTTAGTTTTTTTTAGATTCAACTTAATTTTTAAACACGGTTTTATTTCATATGACATTATAGCTAGTTGCTTGTATTATGACGTGTTTTAATTTTCAAGACTCAGATCATACGAGTTATTGAGCGTCATGTATATGTCACACCATATTAATATTACTATGCAAAATGAAAGAGAAACAATAAGAACATATAATACATGCTTTATATAGTTTATTGCGTAATATCATCAAGTGCCTTGGTATCGTACCTGAAGACGCGCTCCATCTAACGATATAAAAATGATCCAGATTCGAGCCCTGATCGAGATGATATTTCGTTGTATCGAATTTTCTCAACTACTTAACTGAATCTGTTAGCTGGTATCAAATTATATATGGATAATTTAATGGAGACGCAGGTACATACTTTAGCTCGCTAACCGTCATCCTATTCATATGGCCTTTATAAATTAAATTAGAAATTATTTAGATTTTAAGTTGCTTTTTTTATTTATTCAAACATAGATAATGTCACAGTAATATTACATATTACAATTTTATATATTATTTTTAAATTGAATTAAATTACATTAAACTATACTCGATATATAAATGGAATACATACGGATAACGCAACAACGCAATAATTTTAAATAAGATTAAAATGATATATTTGAAAATTAAGATTAAACTCATACATGTTGAAGTATGTTTATGGAAACGCTTAAAACTGGCTTATTTTGAGCAGCAGATCATATTTAATAACTAACCAAATTACGGTTTTCCGTTCGAATTTATAGCCAATATAAATTTGTTAGCACAACAATTTGCAACCACAATTTGTTAGCGATTTGTTTATTGGGAAATTAATTGATTTTGATTTAATATTACACTAATTACTAAGTATAATTTCTTTAATCGATTAAAGTAATTATGGTTATGTATAAAAATTTATTCAATTAGATTATTGATTGTTGTAATGAAGTAAACTTTAAATCAATTAAATGTTCAACACAGATATACTGTCTACGCTAGCCGCACTGCTCGGGCACAGCCTTCACTTATCCGATTGTAACGAATACTGATAATAATCAATCCTATTACTTTAATTTTAAAAATAATTTGCATAGTTTTTTCTATCAAACAAAATAAATTTTTACTGATATTTAAATGCTTAAATGTTGCTTACGTGCTACTTCAAGCGCTATCAAGTTTTGTTTTTATTATACTATTTATATACTATTTATATGTTCATAATTTTGATGAATGTATGCCTTTTCTTGGAAATTCGTTAAATGGTTTCAGTACAGGGTAATACGATTGACTAAGTTTAAACGACAAAATATCATCTATCTTTTTGATTTCTTCATTGTCTGGTATATCGGAGATTTCATCAGTTTTGTTATCATCATCATACATATTGTCATTTGTCGGTGTGTCATCTGTTGTGGATATTATATGTATTGATAATTTATGTCGAGCTTCGCTAAATATTGTTTCCTAAAAGAATAAAAAAAATTGATAAAATATATAACTTTTCCACATACTTTCAAAAGTATTAAAATGTTGTAAAACTTAAATATTACAAAAGAGAAAAAAATGATCTGTATTTTTTATTTATCTTTTTGCGAAGAAACATTTTTCTCTTTTCAATCTAAATTAATATATGTTTAACAAATTATGATAAAATACAATATAAATGTGATGATTACCTTATAAAATTTAAGTAACTGTTGCTGTGTTATGGTTTTTAAATAAGCTACTTCAATATTTGCCCGATCAAAATTATACTGTTGACTTATAATCTCGCTCCAGAATATTTTGCATCGATCGTACAACATTTTTGGTTTCTCAAGATGTAATGTAGCTAGAGCTTTTTTATGTGTCTCGAACTGTTCTTCCGACATGGTTAATATATGGTTCTGAAATGTATAATAGCTTTAGTTTCTTCTTAAATTTCTAAACTTATTTTTTATAATTATTTATATATATAATCTATATAATCTATATAATATGTTATATTTACCAACATAGATTTCATAAATAAATCAATTCGTTTCTCAACATATTTAGGATGTTTATCACTTTGAACTATAACTCGCAAACCTTGAGCTCCATTTGTTTGACACACATCACTAAATACTATATACCCTAATTGTTCCTTGGTTCTTAGAATATTAAAGCAAGGTTCCGAAATAATTTGTGCTATAAGTTCTAAAAGCATATTTAACTCTGTAGACTGCAAACCACTTTGATAATATACCTCTGTACAAGAACTTTTATGTAATGTATTTTTTGTCTCAAACAGAAAGTGACAACCTGTAATAAATGCATATTATTACGTAATATTTATTTACAGAAAAAAGATAGTTGTTAAAAAAGTAAGATTTACATTATATTGTATACTTACCATCTTCTAGCCTAATGTCACGTGATAATATTAATTGTTGTTGTAACAATGGCACCATATGAGAGAATGTATTTGTCAACTTAAATTCAATTAACCTAATTATGTCTATGGCTTCTGTTTTAGTTACGTTACCATGTATTAAACATTCTATGTGCACTTTATTAAGAAATTGAGATATAAACTGTTGAATTCTATCAACACTTAGATCTGTACATATAAAATATACAATATTATTATGTAATACTTTTACTTGTACATTAAACCTATTAAATTTCTATTATTTATTTAAATATAATTTTTGAACTTATATGTAGAATTAGATATTTAATTACGTAAACTTTTTAATCACTATAGATGTGATAAAAATCACTATACATGTGATTAAAAAAACAATATTTTTATATGACATAACAGTTTTCTTGAAAATGAGACATATTTATAAGTTCATATAAAAAATTCTATGTAATATTTTAACTTACAAGCAGTTGCTTCTAATAATTCCTCCTTGACCCAAACATTCTCAGATAAGAGAACTGCAAGATAGTAGAGTGAATGTTTAAATGGTTGTTCTGCTGTAAAATTTTTCAAGGTCCTGATATACTGTAAGCAATTTTATATTATATTAAACAGTGTTGCAACTTAAATTATTCAAGTGATTTCATATCTTATTGCACGTACGTGGTCTTTGAGAATTTCAAACCTTTTTGGATCAACTTTATAGTTTATCATTCGATCCATAATTTTTTCTAATAGCACACGCTGTTTTTCATCATATCCACTTATTTTAAGCTAGAAAAACAATTATAGTTCTTTTAAGGTACAAAACATTTTTTTTCTAAGACTAAAAAAGTTTGATTCACGAATAAAACTGTGTGCGTACGTGTGTGTATAACAACTAAAAATTAAAGTTAAAAAAGTTATAATAAGTTAATTAAAAAGGTATATAAAATTATTAATTACACAAAAAAAAAGAATAGGACAAATCTTGCTAGAATTCATTGAGAAAAAAATTACTATATAAAAAATACGGATGGCTATTTAAAAACAAACTTAAGGTGATCTTCACATGATCTTGTCATCATCTTCTATATTGTTGTTATTTACTTACTGTTATTCCATATGTGGTGACTTCAAGTGTCCATTGTAAACCAGCCAAAGCGGCAGCATATGCATACTCGTTGAGAGAATCACGAAATAAATAGACAAACATATGAATTAAATTGCAACTAATGGGATCCATATAAGCAAGTGGACTAGAATGAAAATGAAACTATAAATATATAAACACAATATTAATATATATACGCTGCCAACTGTATGTATGTGATATTTATACAAATGTCAAACTTTTAAATGATTTTTCTGGAACAGACTTCTATACTATACTGTAAAATGTTCATATATATATAAATGTATATGACATATGGACCTTCTAACCACATTTAAAAATTAATAAAGATAAATTAATTAGTGAATAAATTAGTTAATAAACTATTTATCATCAACATCAACCAATCGTATTGATCTATTTAGTGACATTAATTGAAGTGATTCAACTTATACTGTTCAAAACCGCTGTATAAGTCCATTCTTAACTTACTTGTATCGATGCGTTTATTTCTGAAATTTTCTAAATTACATGTTAGTGATCTAGTATAGAAGTCTGTATATTTTAACGATTATTCTAGCTGCGACGCAAGCCACAAGCAGCTTACAAAAATAACCAATTAGTAACGCTAAGTGAGGTAATAATAAACATCTATATACTCGAAAAAAGTTTGATATATTTAAATTTCGGTGAAAAAAAAGGAGAGAAAGAGAGAGAGAGAAAAGAGAAGAAAAAAAAAAAGAAAGAATTTGTATATGAGAGAAAGAAAATAAAAAAAACGAATATTATTGATTATAATTGTTAAATGATTTCTAGTAATTCTGCTCTACACATATCAATTAAACTTTAGGTGATAATATATCTGAACTTATCACATACCTGGTAAAGTTAAATATCATTTTAGCTCGTGGCACAAGATATTCGTCATCTTTTTTAAACCAAAGTCTTACAAACGGTGTATCTTCTATAATCGTAGGAAATTTTTCTATCTGTAACATTTCCCCAGCCATTTACTATATAAAATGATACACCGATATAAAAAATTAATTCTAAAGCATTGATATTTTTTTAACTTACTACACACAGAACTTAATACAGAGAGAGGTAACTTGATATAGAAAGAATATTCAAATACATCAAGTATGTACTGGAATGTCGTGTTAAAAAAATCAGTTTTTTCGAACTTTTCTATTTATTATATTTATATACTGATTTTTGTTAGTTTTCTCTCCGCAATAGGCTCTGCTGCATGAAAAGTTTACAGGAATGCTCAAAGATTAATATTGCAAAAGACAATTTTTTTATTACGTTAGCTTCGTCCTTGATATCAAATTGAGTTGCTATAAATTCATTCCTGGAAGGCAACTGTAACTCTGGATTTTCGTTAACATTCTCCCACATGCTAATTACTTCTGTTGGTATCTTCTCTTTCTTATATTTAGTACCGTACCATGTTTCGGTCTCGTTTGCTATATTTTCATATGTTTTTGCAGCCACATGAATTCTAATATTTTGTGGAGTCAGATACTCCATTATTTCAGTGATTACGTCAGGTCGCCACTCTGTGTAAATATATTCCGCACACAAAACTTCGTTCATAGGATATCTTTGTAATGCTTGAACTATTGTTTTCACATAAATATAAGGAGAGCATTTCTCTATGAAACGAAAGTTCATATTTGCGATATCTCTATATTCCTGCAATAGTAAAATTTTCTTTTTAAAATATTATCATTATCGCAATATAAAATAGTCAGAAAGTCGTGACACAAACAAAGATATAAATTCCTTGTAAGAAATAGAAGAAACATATAAAGACTTTTCTATCTTATAATTTTCTTAATATTTTTTTTGTTTATACACTAATTTAAAAAAAAAACATTTTTTCTAGATAATTAAATAAAAAGAAAAATATTTTATTGTTTTTATACTTCTTTTTCTATAAAATATTTTACTTTCGAAATATTTTCTTGTTAATGCTGAGCATTCTAATATGCACTTCATAATTTTGTCACTTACATTAAAAATCCATTCAATCGGTCCAGTTTTCTTAAGCATATTAATGTATTGAAACGTCATCGTAACGATATCATCAATATGCTTAACACCCTCCTCTGTTAGATCCATAACAACATTGAAAAAATCAAAGCCTTTGGCGCCATCACGTTTTCCACATACTAAAGAGTTACACCAACTCTTGGCCTTTAAAGCTGACAATAACGATCCTTCACCTTCGTGTCCAAGCAGGTAGGAAACATATTGTGCAGGCTTTGTTAAATAAGTAAACAATATAAAATAAGACTAAATAAAATTATCATATGTTTTTAATTACATGTATATATAAATTTTATATATAAAATTAATAAGTCTTAAAATAAAGACTGCGATCAAAGTAACGCTACAAATATTACAAAGCATCAGTCTATCTTCATTCTTTGTTGAATGTAAAAAAAAAATAAAATAATGCTTCGAATTATTTGTAGTGCTACGTTGACCGCAGCCAAAAATACAAGAGTAAAATAACTTATAAGCAAAAAAAACTAGAAAAAGTTTATATTACCAAAGAACGATAATATTGTTGCATATCAGGCAAAGGAAATGACATATTTAGAGTTCTCATATCTTTTATCGGAACAATATACCACTTAGTACGAAAATGTTCATCCTTGAATGGATGTTCAGGCCATTCTGGAACTTTAATTTCCTTATTTTTCACTTCCCAAAAAAGGTTAACTACCATGTTCTCAAGTTCATCTAAACTTTCTAAACATAAAATAAATAAATGTACAATCAGAAATAAGAGGAAAAAGTCATTAAAAACTGAACGTATTTGGTGTGCAAGTTGTAAGATTATTATAAATAAAACTGATGTAATAAAAACAAATTTAAAAACCAAATAAAAAAATAAAATTAATCGCAAGAGTTTCAACTCTGAAATTGAATCTTTCCGTACCTTTACCTAGAATACACAACGCCATGATATTTGCGGAATAATATTTTTCATGGAATTCGAGTAACCTTTCTCTGATATCAATACCCTTTTGTTTAGGTATTATGTCTAACGTTTGCTTATTGCCCGTGCTAAATTTTGAAAACGAATGATCAGGACATGAGGATTTTTCCACTTGAGTAAATCGCCAGGAGTCTACTGCTAAATTTTTTTCATGTTCTGAATTTATGGCATTCAGTTCTAGCTTAGTCAAGGTTTCTGTGAAGAGTGGCTTTAGGAAAAATTGGGCAAATCGATCTAAAGCACCTTCTAACTTCTCTGGATTTATATCAAAATAATAGTAAGTATGTTCCATGATTGTTGTTGCATTACTCCTACCACCATTCTGGGACAAATACATGAGGTAATCATTCTGTTGAGGATATTTCTCTGTTCCTAGAAACAACATATGTTCACAGAAATGAGCTAATCCAGGCAGATCATCTGGATCGCACATATAACCTGTAACATATGTATATATATATATATATGTCTCTTCACTGTTTATCTTTCGCAAGATTTTAGTAATATATTAATAGATATATCAGAAAATAATATGTATAAATTTATCAAAATAGTTTAGTCTTTTTGACTTCCACTATTTTTATTTCTATAAATCATACAAGAAATTTATTACTTGCAAATAATAAAACATATTGGAATAAAACAAATTTATATTATTTTACATATACTATATTTTAGAAATGCTATTAAATGTATTTAATATTTATAAGAAGTGTAAAATATCATGTAATTAAAATTACCAATATTAACATCCAATGCAACAGCACTTTTGTCAGTTATTGGATCACTTATTAAAAGTACTTTCATTTTATTAGTAAGTACTAAGCCTCTATACAATCTGTCATCATTTTGTGACTTTATTATATCCTCATATCTCTTTTCCACATGTATATTAGTTGGCATATTGATCATTGATTCTTTAGACTTAATTTTATTTCTGTAAATATGTGTTAAGAGAATAACACAAAAACAATAAAATTAGATTTCATCTATCTTATAAACTGTTTAAAAAAAACAGTTCAGTTCAGTTTCGTTTGATAATATATTGGTTTTTCACTGTTCCTAATCTACTAATTGCACATTTATATCACTTCGTACATCTGTAATTCTCAATTCTAAATTATTATTTTTTTCGGCATATGTTTATATTGAAAAACTAACTTTTTCATTCGATACATTATAATCTTTGACCGCATTTGTAGAACTATCTTTATCAGCAACCTCAATATCTGACTTTATTACTATTTACACCTAAGCTGCGTTCGGAAACATCACTAATGTATATTTTATCTTTATTACTCATTATATATAAAACAAAGATAGAATGATGCTCGTGTGTACACGTGTGCTGTTTCCGAACGTGACGCTATAGTTATGTTTTATGTTCCGTGTGTCACGCAACGTATAACTTTTGGTTTCTTCAATATAAATACACTGTAATCTCTACATCACTATCTTAGACAATTTTACAATTATAACGTCTTTATTTACTGATTTTTTCTCGAAATTACTACTTTCTTCCGCAAAGCTCGCAATTTCTTAACTGTTCTCAAAATTAAGATGTTTTATCTATATTTGACGGAGATCTATCCGTCGTCTCGCTTCTCTTCTGTTCATGATCCACATCTATACTCTATAATCTGTTGAGAGATAAATTTATCGTATTCTCCTTTTGTATATACTATTTTATCATTATTTAGATTGCTAAAATCTTTATTCTCCCGACAAGAGGGTCCCGAAATTTCCGAAATCTTAAGAAAGAATCCAGAAATTTTGGATCCCATTTGCTGATTCGTCGGGTTAGGCACTCACCGTTATCCAAGTTTGAACAATGAACAAAAAGAAAAAAAAATAATAGTAAAATTTAAAAAAACTTTCTTTTTAACGCTCTCTTAAATTACAATTACTCTAATTCTCTAGAAACCCAAGCAACAATTCACAGTACTTATCTGCAATCCAATCACGGTCAATGTGACCAGAGCGAACAGAGTGATTTTCACACGTCTTCGCACCTGAGACGGCCGGCAACAAAATCCAAAGGATCCAAAGCGAGTTATTGGAGGATAAAATACAGACCTTTTCGGTTCTAAGCGTTAAAGTTGACAACTATTCAGGTTAGGTTCGAAAATCTGTTATTTACAGAAACAACGTCCCGATATTCACTGCCAGCACTAAAAATCTATACTTCACGTAACGTGTGGTGTAGATTTCTAGGTACTGGCAGTGAATATCGAAACTCAGCTAGATTGTAGCGATATGAGCATGCGCTGTGGTCATATGTGTATTCTATTGAAATCATGTTGCAATAGAATTCGCACAAAGGTATTTAGTATGTTGCTCGTATCACACTATGAATTGGCATTGAGATTGAATCGCAATTTGACCAATCAAAACAAAGTTCACTAAGCTTAAGATTAGTTTTCTTTCTTTTAATTGGTTAAATTCTAATCCAATCAAATCACGCATGCGCATTTATTAAGCACACTAGTGTCTCAACACTCTGCTATCAATACCCGTCTATATCGCAAATTATCACATAAAAAAAATATAAATTTTAATATCTTAAAATTAGGATTTGCACTTGAAAATGGTATCAGGAATCTACTGTTAGAAAAAATTCGATAGTTGTAAGACATCTTGTATATTTGAAATATGTGGTAAGTAGGTACTCTTTTGTTTTTTTATTCTGACAAAATTATAAAAACCAGATAAATAGTTTTTACATACTGATTATGTACTGATGTACTATTGCCCACTTTCTTCACCTCTGACAAATTCTCGATAATTTTATCTAAAAGATAAAAGTATATCTTTATCTAGAGGATAACTAACGAAAGATATGAAGAAATCGGCAATATATAGAAAACAGATTTTGTCAAATACCAGTAAGAGTTAACAAATTGGCAACAACTCCTGAGCAATGTGTCTAACTCAAATTGACCAAAACTGTAACAGATCTATCAAACGCATATTTAATGGCAGATTCGCAGCGGTTCTGTCAACACATAACAGTACTCTACAGCAACACTTTAAGAGAATTGTAGCAGATCTGTTCGGAATTTGCCGCCAATTTGTTGGGTGATATCAGCAGATCTGGTAATAAAACGCAAACCCGACTTTGTCTTACAAAAAGCTTCTGATCTATTATGATATTCTCCTCAAATTTGACATTTTATTTGCAGATTTTGATAGCAATTTGTTTAAGGAATGTATATTTCTATTTTTATTGCATGCTCTTACAAGTGAGATCTTGCAAAGATTAGATAAGACAAAGCAGGCCTGTATTTGGTCACTAGATCTGCTGATATTATCATTAACAAATTGATGGCAAATTCTGAGTAGTTCATTTATTCAAGCTTAGTGCATACTGATTTATGTTTACACGATATATTGTAAACGTCAATTCATTAAAAGAACAGCAAATAATAAATCTCATATACTGTTGTTGCAACTATACTTGATATGACTTTTTTAACATTATTGTTTATGTGTTTCAGAAGTGAGTCATATATACTTGGTGCGTGTCAAGGCACTACCACCCTTTGTAGGGTCCATCATTCGATCCCAATTAGTGTGACCAACGACAAATCCGACAGCGCGCATTTTTTCTTGTTTTTTGCGCTCTTCTAGATCGGCCCAACGTACCTATATAAAAAAGATGCATGTAAATATTTCATTCGTGAATTTTACAATCAGAATATTAATCAAGTTTATATAAGATAGTATCTATACAGACCCGTTTTTTACCGGAAGTATCTTCCATATCATAATAATCAGGGACTTGAAGAAAGTCTTCCATAGTTTGAGGTTTTGTTTCATTCTTTTTTTTTGCCAAACCATCTAATCGATCTATATAAAAATAAAAATAATTTTATTTTAGACATTAACTAAAGAAAATATAAAGATTGTTAATCGGCTAGCATAAAGGTTGCATCTTGATATTTACACTGTCAGTACTGTAAACTTATAATTCACATCACGCGTACTGTATATTTTCAGTACTGGCGTAAATATCGAAACACGCAGTCAAAATAATATAAAGTAGCTAACCTAATTTATCTTCAGCTTCCATTCTTTCCCATTTGCTAACACCCTAAAACAAGTATCTTTATCTTAATTATATTCAATTATAGTCAATAGTTAACTATTTAAACAAAATATTTTATTAAATTACACTTTCGTCAGAAATATCTTGCTGACTGTCTTGACTATCTTCATGATGTGTGACAGAGTTCTTTTGTATTCCTTGACTATCTTCCATATCAACCTTTAATCAAAAGATTTGTCAACTCCATATCCTCTTCGTGTTAAAAACTAGTAAGATCCATAAGAGTTGGTGCTAATATAAGCGCACATTATTATTGGAGTATTACCTCCTCTATTGCCTGCTCTTGTAACATTGAATTTACATCTAACTTCTGATGATAACTAGGCGTGGGCTCGAAATAATCTATAATCCGATTAATCTCATCTTCAGTACGATTGTGAATATTTCTTTTTAAGCATATCTGTGGATCCATTTCCATCTCGCATACATATACCTATATATAAATAATATTGGTTTTAGTAAAACTTGTGTGTATGGTATTTAAAAATGACGCATAGATAGCAACAGTAATATCGCATTGCTGATTTCTGCTGTCGTCGACAAGTTTAATTCTTCAGAAAAACAAATGTCAAACACTGGCTTGTTATAGCATGTTTGTGTGAAAATGCGATACTGTCTACGTATATGTTGTTTCGAGTTTATAAACTGTTCTTCATACTACGCATACACACGCATACACAGAAACTTACTTTAAAACCTTTTGTTTTGGCAAAACTCCACATGTCTTCATAATCTGAGATTTTCTCATTAATGCAGTCCAATATGATGAAAGTAAAGAAGCCATCTATTATGTTTTTCTTGAAAGCTTTACAGAGCGATGCTACATAACTTTGTTCCATAGCTTCTTCATATTCATACACCATTTCCTATTTTAAATAATATTTAGTTAAAAATACAATACATGTACAATATACAAATTTAAAACTTTATATAAGTTCTTATTTTATTAAATACCTTAACTTTAACTTTTTTTCCATTATCATCTGTAGTTTCTATTTCCTTTTCTACGAGAAAGTAATCATCTAAACTTAATATCCTCGGCGCGGAACCGCCTTGTTCAACTTCTTTATCCTGTATAAGAAAAGAATAAGACAACGTGTATAAATATAGCAAATTAGATATTTCATATCTCTATGAGCTTAAAAATAATATGCAGTAGTTTCATTTTATAACGGCCTTAATAAGTATATTGCGTTTAATTGACCATTAAAAAAGAAAAAAATCTGCTATAAAAGTTGAAACCTTAAAACTCTGTGCATCTTTTTTATTTTTTTTTCTCAAAACATGAAACTATTTGTTAATTAATATCTAGCGTTATAAATAAAATATAACATGTAACATTTTAAAGCACTTATCAATATACCTTAATAAGTTTAGCCACAAATGACTTGCCACTACCGGGTGGTCCTCTCAGAATAATAGCTATTTTTGGTGGTCTGTTCTGGCGACCTGGTGGACATAACAAGTCATCAACCATGGTATTATTTGGAAGCCTTGACAGGTCCAAAGTTTGTGGAGATAATTCTGCGACATTTTTCTTTGTGTCCGAAGAAATGCTGCAACAAACATTTATATCTTATGTCAAAAAGAAAAGAGAAATTAATTTATCGGAATCAATATCGTTTATTCAAAGGGAAAGAAACGAGTTCGATCAAAGGATGATGCTCAAGAAAAACACTGCTGTATATTAAGATCAGTGCCCAGATTTAGTTATAACTGCCGAAAGATTTCTGAAATTTCTCGCTTTTCCTTCATCATAGCGACAATCATCAACGGTGGTTCACGTTTAGATATGATGTTACTTTCGAGCCGCGTCAGTTACACGAGAGTCCACATCTCGCTAAGAAAAACTATTTTATAATCAAATAAATAAAGAAAATATTTTATAATGTGATTATAAAATAACTTTTCTTACAAAAACTCACTGACACAGCTTGAAAGCAGCACTCATATCTCATCATTGACGAGACTGTTGCTGAAGTAAGTGCAGCAAAGAGAAAGCGAGAGAGACAACTTTAGAAATCTTTCGACAGTTGCAACTAAATTCGAGCAATGAGAGATGTTTCTCGCAACAATCTACAATTAGAGTCAACAACTCGAAGACTCACTTTTAAATCATACGCAAATATGTATTGTTAAAGAGATATATACGTTTGGAAATCTCTCTCAATAGATACAAATTTAAATTATAGTTTTCGTTATAATCAAACGAGTACAATTTTTTTAAATGTACATATTTTATAAAATGATTTTCAAACACAAATGTGTATATACACACACATATATATATTTGCAAAGCAACTGCATTTGTACGCGTATACAAATGCAAACAAAACTTTCATATTAGCAAAAGATTTCAAGTGAGAACATCATAATCAATATATCGCAAAACATTATGTTATTATAAACAATAAAAAAGTAAATATTGCAATATACAAAATAATCCGTTACTACGGAAGAAGTGTGTTCACTATAGTGTTATTCTCACAAACATTGCATATAATAAAAATACACTGAAGCAAAAAAAAATTATTATACGAGATATGTAAGCTATCGATTAACATCTGAATGAATTGTTGTTAGAAAAATAAGTATTAAAAAATACAAAACTAACAGCAGATTCGTAAACAAAATGTTATCCAATAGCTTATGTTTTATGTATCCAGTAATAATAGTTTTTTTCTTTCAGCAATACTGTTATTATATGCACATAAAGTGCATTTATAATAATAACATAGAAAACACTCTATTGGCCTTTGAAAATGTAATGTATATAAAAATATATCATGTATGTTCAATATTTTCATGGTAGATTCTTTAATATTTTTCAACATTTCGAGACAAAAAGTCTAGTATGAAAACGACGAGTCTATAACAGTTTTTAAGTTATAAACAGTTAAAAAGTATCAATCACAGTGTCTATAAACGTATCAAGCGACACATCGGGCGAGTACAGTAAAACAAGTAGATGCTTTCATATCTGAGATGATATTCAAATCTTATGTATAAACGCATAAGTAGATTTTCTTTAACAAAGAGTTTTTGCATATACGCAACATGTTTGTTCATTGCAAAAATCACGCATAAATCGTGTATAAATATTTAAAAAAACACATACAACTGTATTTTTTAATAGTAAATGTGTAAATTGAAATGTATTGATGTTAAAATGTCAAAATCCAGCTCTTGGACTTGAAAAAGACTCTCTTGTTAGTACGCTATTTTCTTCGTCACTCTCCACGCGCAATTCAAATATCTCAAGCTGTGTGTGTGTGCGCGTGTGTGAGCGCGCGAAGCAACAAAACAACTATGTTCTTGCGCAAAGCAGTGAAAAATTAATTCTCTAAAATTATTGATACGTAAGTCGATACTGCTATGCATCAATTAGTTTCTCTTAAGTTGACATTTACTGTCTACTTTTATTTAAAGTTAATCTCACTCAAACTTCTTCCTTAATAACTTGTATATTATGTAATACTAAATCATTCTTTAGAAACAATTCTCTTTTTATGCGTCGTAATTCTCTTTCAGCTGCAAAAGTCGACTGCTAACATATGCTGAAGCCTGTGTTCATAAAACTAGAAATTGGTCCAAGATTTGAGGAAAAACAAACAATTGATTAGTCGCATTCGTCAAATGGCCAAATTGTTCGAATATAACTAGTCAATTTTTTTGCGTCCAAGATCTTGGACCAATTTATAGCATCATGAACACAAAGGTAACAAAATCTGTTAAAAGTCAAGTGATAAATTGATTGGCAAATTTCGAGTAGATTTGTCCAACGCAGATTGGCTTCAAATTGGTAAAAAATCTCAAACACAGATTTTTGTACATTTGCAGCAAACTCTGAACAAATGCAGACTAGTGGCAGAAACCGAGCAAATCTGCCGAGCAAATAAATTTTTTAAAAAGTAGGATTGGATTATTTACCATCCACAATGTGGCCGCAGCCACTAAATAGCCTCAAGGCAATATTATGTTTTTGAAATTAAAAAAGACTTATTCAATATCTAAGAGCTAGATAGAATAACGGATGTTGCTGATACGATTTCGTTATTGAACTAAAAAGAAACTGTCCAATACATTTTACAAGCTCTAATGATTAAAAGTGAGTTTGTGCGTAAATACTCTTTTATTTTCACATAACTTGCAGTAATTATTTTCTCGCCCCTGATATCAAACTCCAAGATCGCTGCGAGAGTATCGAAATAATAAAATTATCGATTGGGTTTGGTTTATTGTATTTGTTAAGTGGATGTCACGGGCAAATATCTACATGCCACAAATGTCCCTAAGCCCTACCTAAACTATCAAAAATACGCAACAGTGGACAGCTTTTCAACCTCAAAAAAGATAAATGTATTTCACTATCATTGTATAATTATTTTGCTTGTATAAATTTGAAAGAGATACATTTATTTTATCATATTTCTCATCACCAATATGTTTTCTGGAAAAATATTTACTTAATACTATTATCTAAAGATTGAATTATTTCTCTTGACTTTAAGTCTCTTTTTTCCTTGTAGAATATAAAGTTTCTACAAGTTTTAAACTCAAGAAATAAAGTAACATACCTGATTTCTTGTATCTTCGTATCTACGACGTTTTTGTTCGAATTCTCCTGGCAGCTAATATTTCCTTTTAGTCTATAAAATATTGTATATACTCATACATATATATATGTATATATATCGCATAAATAAAACTGTATCCGTGTTATTAATGTTTTTTTTTAAATAAATAAAGGAAAGTAATTATTTTAAGATACCTTATATCATCTTTGTTGTTGTCTTTATTCATCTCTTTTGAACTTTCGCATATCTCTTGAGCCTGTCCTATATTTGGAAAACACATAATACATGATAAAACACAGTATAAAGTATTACTCGCCACATTTGGATAAGTGCATGTTGTTCCGCAGCCTTACTTTATCCGAATGTGGCGAACACTAATATAAAGAATTGTTTAGTTTCAATATTTCATCATTTACAGTTAAATAAATATTAAAGAATAAATTTCAAAACAGTATTATAATTAAGTTTTAGCTCAATGCTTGCGCGCTGATTTAGTTGCAACTGTAAAAAGATTCCTGAAGCCACGTCTCTTGCTTTCTGCACATATTTCAGCGATGGTCACTGCTTCGTCATCGGTGGTAGGACGCGCTTAAGTATGGTACTGCTTCCAAGTCATGTCAGCAGCACGAAGACTCTTAACTCCCTGAGAAACGCTATTTTAAAAGAGCGCTATCAATGATAAAGTGAGGACCGTTGCTGAAGTGTGATGAAGAGACCGAGTGGCTTTAGATATCAGCAGTTGCAACTAAATCTAAGAACTATTTTTTTTAGCTACCTGGGATGCTAATTATTATCTAAAATAAAAGTTAAATTACCTTTGAGAACATTTGTATCACTTTGATATCTATTGTTTTGATCGTTATCAGAATCAAGGTCGATGTATGAAGACTCTGATTCAGGATTACATTCTCTCTCCTTACGATTATTTTCTCTTCTTTCTTCATCAAATTTCTTATCGCTCAATTGCCAGTCTTGTTTCTTCCGCTTGTTACAGTCTAGCGACTTATGTGCATCGTAGTTGTTTGTTTTATTCTTATAACTTTTTAAGTTGTTTATCGCATCAGTATATTCCTTCAAGTTTTGCTCACTCTCTACCCAATTTCTAAAATCTGTTTTTGAATAATAATGTTGTTTCTGCTGCTCGCGATTCAGTGTCACTGGTTTCAAATTGCCATGACCGTAGTCAAAGCTTTGAACTGATGTTAGATGCTGATCTACAATCAACGGACGGGATTTATGTTCATAATCTATTACTTTAACCGGAGTAAAGTGATGTGATTCTGTAAACTTTTTATTAACTTCGCCGTGATTATAATTGAACTGCTTCGGCGCACAAAATTCTTTGCCAGTCTTCAATTGAGGACGTTTAAATACATCAAATGTACGCGTTGATTGAAAGTCCAACTCGGGTACGGATTCACCACGTCTTGATTTATAATCAATATCATGTTGACCTCTATCAGTAATCTGATCATTGCCAAACTTATCTTTCCAAACATCAGTAGGTCTGTATTCTTGGTGAGATATCTTTTCTAATCCTGTTTTATCGGACACATTTTTAGTATCACTAGAATAGTCTTTTTGCATTTCCATACTAATATTTCTGTCAGAAAAAGTTTTATTGAATTCATTCGGACTTTTATATCTAATCCTTTTAGTAGAAATATCATCTTCAAATTGTCCTTTTCTTACATAAGAGTCTCTACGCGCATAATCGCAGCGATTAAAGAATAAAGAAGAATCTTCTAAAGGCGAAAAATATGGATTATTTGAATCATTCATCAGATCCTTTTCTTTTAAGTCTAATGGCCTGAAAGGCCGATTGTTTAAATTTCGTGATTGGAATTGGTTCTCTTTAGAATTATTAAGATTACGTTGAAGAATATCATTTAGATTGTGAGAATTAAGTATAGTATTGTTAGGACTACAAGAATCAGGCAATCCCTTGACATAATTTCGAGAACCAAGAGAGTTTTCATTGGAAAAACTAAAACCGCTTTTATCAAAAGGAAGTTTCTTCTCAAACGGTGCTTCGTTCGTATTACTAAACCTATTAAACTCCGTAGGACCACACTGAGGATTGCTAAGACCTCGAAAATCGGAAGGAGTATCATCAAGTCTTCTTGGACCGCTAAATGCATCGTTAGGTCCTCGTGAACCGAAGTAATTTTCTGAAAATCCAGGTGATCGAAAATCCATACGACTGTTATCGGTTTTAGAATTACACTGCATATCGTTATCTTTAAGCTCGAACAAACTAGATTTTGATGTAGCAAATGTTACATCAATCTGGTTTTTTGATTCTATCTGTCGGTCAAAACATTTCGGTCCGTTTGGACCTAAATTTCGCGAGCCATATTGACCGAATTGCTCATCCATAAAGCCTCGTCGGTCGAATTGTCTATTATTAGAGTCTGCAAATGATTCTTGATTGTTACAATTTCGTTTATTATATTGCTCAGTATTAGGTCTTCCAGAACTAAATGAATTTTCATTAGATTCAAGCTGATTTTTATTGAAAACTTGCAAACCTAAGTCTTTATCCAAAGAATTTCGTGGTTGGAACACAGGATCCATTGGGAGTGCGTGAGGCTCACTGGGACCAAAGCTGTTAAATGTTGGCGGTTCGCGGGATGCAAATCCAGACTTTACTTCTATCTCCCTCGCATCAAATCGTAAATTAAACTGATTGCCAATTAGTTTGTTTTCACTGCAATTATTATTTGAACTAAGTGCGTTTTGACTCAGATTTGTAGAAACAGGAGACAGATTGGGTAGTTCTGGCGGAGGTTCAATATTCAAGTCTTCTGGCGGTGGATCGGTTTCATCCATAAAAGGTAAGCTTTCAGATTGTTTGCTGGCGTTATCTTTATTATCAACTTCTTTTATTATTTCGACGCTAGAGATCTGATTATTATATTCGTTATCATTCCGCTCCAAAGAAGTATCATTATCATTTATCTGGCATTCTTTATTTTTATTTTCTTCTGAAATGTCTTTAGAAGTAACAACATCTGTTTGCATAGTGGTATTGTTGGTCTCATTTAATTCAATCACTGTATCTACTGTATCTACAACACTATTATTAGTTTCCAGTGAAGAACCAGCAACTTTGTTATCATCAGAATGTTTAATAGAATCTTGAGACTGTACATTAGTTGTTTGAGATTGAATGTGATGCGACTTAATTTCCATATTTTTATCTAATCGATCATTATAATTCATAGAATTTGATTTGACAAAGGTGTCTGAAAATTCTCTAAAAAGAGGCTCATTACGGTTAAAAGGATGACTTCGTGGTCCATACAATGAAGTAGGACTTTGTTCTATTTCGGAATGACAATGTTGTTCAAAATTGGATGCTTTATTCAATAAGATTGCTGATTCATCATTACGATTTTTTTGAAGATCAAAAGAATTTTTAAAAAGTGATCCACCAGCAATCTTTTTGAAGCTTTCGCTGAGAGAATCAACATTACTACATTTCTCAGAATCAACAAAACTAGGTTTGAATACGTCTCCAGCAGCTTTTCGTTTTTCCATTAGCTTTTTTAGCTCCGGCAACTCATTCAATGGACTAAATGGTAGATTTCTGTTGAATCCCCCTCGAAAATTAATGTCAAAACTGTCTCGTGATCTAAGATCAGGCCCGTCTTTTGAATTGAAGTAATCGACGTTACCTCTACCAAATCGATCATTTGGACGAAGATGTTCGTTGTTGGGACCAAATCGATTGTTACTCGAAGAAAAACGATCAAATCCAGGTGCTGTGACAAATCGTTCGCTACTTAATGGAAATCGATCCGACCCAAAAGGCGGTCCAAATCGATTATTTCCAGGTCCGTGACGATCTTTATCCATCGTGAATCGGTCAATTTCGGGTTTAAATCGATCATTTTCCACACTTGGTCTAAATCGTTCATTATTAAATCGATCAGATCCTGGACCAAATCGATCATTACATGATCTAAATCTATCGCCAAACTTGTCATTTTCCATCGGTGTAAAGCGATTGTTTTCTTTGACAAAATGATCATTATTTTGACCAAAACGATCGTTTCCAAGTCCAAATCGTTCATTATTCGGATTAAAGTTGTTTGATCGATTCGATTGAATGTTTCCAAAATCATTATAATTTCTATCATCTCCTCTAAAACGATGCGATTCGGCTCGATCAAAGTTATCAGTTGATCTAAGCTGATCTTCTCGTTCATTCAAATTCAAATTAATATTATCTTGTTCTAAATGTTCCTGATCGTTCCTTCTGAAACTGGACAATCTATTAAAATTAGGAGCTGATCGATCATTTGAATGCATAAAACGCATGTTCATGTTTGAAGGATCAGACAAATCATATGCAGGACCATTTCTCTCATTTGCTGAAGTTCTCTCAGTTTGCAATTGGGACCGATCATTATTAGAGAAATTTGATGAAAATTGTGGACAATTTTGTGCGATATTTGGTGGTGGTTGTGTAAAGTTCGGTGATATTATTTGAGATAGACCGATATTTGCTTGTGTTGTAGATATTGTATCTGTTCCAGGTAACTCGGGTCCGTGTCTTGGTACATTCATTCTGGGATTGTGCTGTTGAGACGGCCACTGCTGTTGATTTGACCAGGATGATGCAACCGTAGGTTTAGTCATGTTCATTTGTGGAGTTTGTTGAGCTTGAGTTACAAGGTGTTGATTGGAAGATGTGTTTTCCGGTGGTGGAGGAGGCGGCGGTGGCGGTGGTGGTAAGGGTACATTAACATCTTGCTTTCCCGTCAGTCCCAAAGTTTTTCCAATACCCAGTAGATTATTAATTAACCCTTGATTTTCGGTATTCGATAAAATATCCATTATTTTATTGTCACCGGCTATGGTTTTGGTTTTTTCAACTTCTGTTTTAGTAGTGACTTGTTTCTGTTGTTCACGTTTTTTACGCATTTGTTCACGTCGTTCAATAAGTTTCTCACGCCATGCTGTCCACTTTGCTTCGTATTGTTTGTACTGAGCCTGAAAATCAATAATAATTTAAATTTCATAAAACAAATCTCTATTAACATAAATCAGATATTATTTATTGCGCAAAGTGTTATAAAAATTATATTTATTATCTCAGAAATTATGACTCTCCTGCTGATCTTACACCAATGATCAAAGTTCAAATTACTTGGGAGTTTTATAGATTCTTAAATGTGCCAATTAGCCTTTACCAAGATTTTTATAACATTTTCACATTTGAGTTGTTTACTTCAGCTGGTTTTCTTACATAAGAATCCATTCATTCTTAAATAATCCTTTCTAGGTTAAAAACAATATTTTTTTATACTTATAAATTTTGATGTGTGTACAGATGTCTTATAAATGTGAATTAAAGAAGATTTAAACATTGTGAATCGAAGAGTACAAACAATAAACTACATCTTAATTACAATTAAATCAAAATATTCTATATTAAATTATTCTATATTATTTTATTCTCATATTGACCGTGTTTGGATCTTTAAAATTTTTAATTTATTTGAGCTTTTTTCTGTAATTCTACAATAAACAATATAGCATAATACTCGTTGTGCACCTTGCGTTTTCAATAAAGAAACTTGCATAAGTTACACGTTTTATGCATAAATGTAACGTCACTTACCTTATCCGGATGATCGGCATTCTGCTCTTTCCATTTGTTAAACTGCTCTTCCCATTGTTTAAATTGCGCATCAAACGTTTTCTCAGCCTCGGTTTTCTCATTATCTTCAAGTATTCTGTTTTTAGCACTATTATACTCACTGATTACATTACTTTCGCAACTCTCAATCGAGACATTCTGCTTATTCTCGCCACTGTCAGGTGGTAAAGGTGGTTGATTTATAGGTTGATACGTAGGTAACGGTGGGTTTTGAGGATGGTTTGTCGCATTTGTTTGCGTCGTTGTATTGGTAGGTTCTTTTGCGGGAAATAATGGAAGATTATTCTGATGTGGGGGTGGCATGTTTATAAACTGGTATGTATTTTTAGCAGTAAGAGATAAGGGAGGTGCCGTATTTTCTTGCGGAAGAAGCGGTGGTTGTATATTTGAGAGCAGTTGTGCTTGATTCGTCAAATTCAGATTTTGCATTGATAAATGATGCATTGTCTGCTGATACTGAAAAAATTTTTCAGTAAAAATTAAAAAATAATAAATATATATATTATTGTTTTTACACACAGATATTAGAATTTGTATATATAAAAATGTATCGTAAAAGAGTTTATTTTGTAATAATAAAGAGCAATAATAAGAAAGCATTAAAACTAATAAACAAAGTCCATCTGTTTAAATAAACAAAAAATGTATTTATTGCAAAACATTTTTATGAGAGTGTTTTGTGTTTATCTATTGTTTATTATTTTGTTTAGCTTTCTTGCTACAATATCTGTTTTATATTTTATATCTGTTTATATTTTTTAAACATAATTTATATATTATACCTTCTCGCCATACTGTGCTTGCCACTGCTGATATTGTTGTTGCCATTGTTGCCACTGAACCCATTCTTGCTGTATTTTTCTTGTCCATTGTTCCGGTGTATATCCACTAGGTGCCTATATAATATGAATATTTGTTCTAATTATATATCATCTCTCTCATCGTATCATATACTAAGTCGTTTAAATATAGACAAATACATTATAATTAATATTTTGCACTAACCTGGTACAATGTAACAAGTAGTAGTTCATACTTTGATTTCTACTTAAATTTTTATATATATTTACTTAAAATAATACTTACTGGTTGATTATAATATTGCAAATGGGTTTGCATCATAGCCATAGGATCAGTAGCTGATGCTGCAACATAACCAGCTGGCTGTGATCCAGGAGTCGTAACAGCATCAGATGACACTTGCCATTGGTTCCAAGTTTGCATATTGCAAATCCTTTATCAGACTAACAAGCAATTCTGTTAGTCCGCTCTAAAAGTCACAATCCGTTCTATAATGCTATTTTATATTATACAGAAAATTTATATATTTACTCATAACGGTAAGCATATGAGCATTTTTTAAGTTTTTCTATCTTAGTTTTTAGAGTTACATAAGTATATAAAACCAAAGAAAAAATGTAAAACCAATTCACTTAAACTATATCACATAAATATAATTCATTGACAAAAAATAAAGTGATATACGACGAAAGAGTCGAAAATTGTACCAATTTAAATCTTGTAAAATATATAAATATATATTTATATTTTTTCCTTAATATTATAAATATATAAATATATAAATACATACATTTTTCTTATTTATATAAATTTATATAAAATTTTCTGACACGTAATAAAAGTATAAAAAGAGAAAGAGAGAAGATATAACTTTTAAAATTACACATATTTTAATATACAGGGTGGCCCAAATCACTCTTATCAGCTTAAATCTTGAGAATTATGTGATTTTACTCGTTTTGGTTTCACACTTTATAGACTTCTGAAACCTTTAAATTTATCTCTAAGACTAACTTACTGTATCTGTAACAGGATATTTAAAACAGTATATGTAAAATCAACCATTTCGTAATCTATATAAGAAAACAGAAATTTTTAAAATAAAACTTCTAAAATATTTTCTCTTAAAAACAATTTTTTCCAAAAGTTGTAAGCATTTAAAGTTTGAGATGAAATGGCGGTTTCCGAAAATAACACACGTTCTATTAACGTGAAATTCGGCTAAAATACTTCACATGTAAAATGATATCCTTGAAAGGATATCTACTAGAATTTTTAAATATGTGGTAATTATTTAGAATTATCCTATCAGCATCAATCTTGATGAAACTCGTTTGACACGTTTTAGTGCGAAACAAAAGAATCCGGCAGACAAAAGCAACACAAATGCAACGCAAGTCTTCCCAACAATAGAAATATACATAGGAAAGACTTATTGTTAGCGAAGTGAAGTTCTATACATTGACGTAAGAATGCATATTGTTGTGGGATAGATCAGCAATAAGGAATATAATATTTCAGCTAGTTTTGTACTTTGTTCGGCTATACGTATCAGCCGTATACAAGCGGCTTTGAATCACTTTTCCATAACAGAAATAAATATATCTTATAGCGTATTACAAGAAAAAAACATAACTAATATTATTTAGAAGTATTTATATATTTGCAGTTGTTTTTAGTATATATATATGTATATATATATATATGTATGCATGTATATATTTACATATGTATATATATACATATGTATATATGTATACGCATACATATATATGTACTATATATATGTACTAAAAACAGCACATATGTATATGTACATATGTATGTACATATACGTATATACATATGTCTAAGTATATATACACATATATACATATACATACATATATATATATATATATATATATACAGGATGTCCCACCTAACTTGAGCATCCTAAATATTTTGCTCATTTTTATGATAGGAGGATACCGAAAAGGGTCATTATTCAGTTTGAGGAGACAAATACTGTAATAAACAAAAACTTTTTGGATTCGTCTTGACCTTGCCTATCATATCGCGAGGATAAAAATATGTACTTTCAGATAAAAAAAAATGACCTTGAAAAAATTTTCCTGTTTAGTACAGTACTTGTCTCCTCAAACTGAATAATGACTCTTTTCGGCATCTTCCTATCATAAAAAATAAGCGAGATATTTAGGATGCTCAAGTTAGGTGAGACACCCTATATTATATATATATTACATATATATTACTTGTACATCACTATGTGTACAAAAAGAATTATATAACATAAATATATAAAATAATATAAATAAAAAAAACAATACTATTGTCTTCTTGGCTTTTAAATAAAATTAATTATTTTAATGTATGTCTCTGTTACACTTACACATATATTTCTTATATAATAAGTTATATAACTTAATCATATAATTATATGCTACACTGTAATAAATTATTACTATGATTAAAGAAATTAATAATTTATATAATGATTTAAATCAATGCTAATGCGTGTTATAATAGATGTAAACTTACTCGTATAAAAAGTATTCAATATTTTATATTCCTGTTTATTATATGTACTTGTTATATAGGTTGAGTTTGATGTCTATTTGGTTCACGCTCAAAAGTGCTTTATTGCTATTAGGCTCGCATTTTTGTCTTCATCTTGAATCGTGTTGTTGACGTTTTTGCTTGTTTTCCTCTTGCGACACGTTTTTGTGAAATATCTGTAGTTTTGCAATATTCACATTGTTTGTCGAACGCTAGGCACTGACGAAGTCCATGTGTGTTGCTCGTCTGACAATGAGCTATGAGGTATCACAGTATACAGTATATTTTTAAAGATTTTTTGAAATATTGCGAAACTTGCAATATTGAAAAAAAATGATAAAGGATTTTTCGACTCAATACGATCTGTTTTACTTGTTTACGAGAAATGTTATTATCGGATATCCTGTATATATGTGTATAGGATATTTATATATATAATATCCATATATACAATATGTATACATGTATATTATATATACATGTATATAAATGTTTTTGTTATTATATAAGAGAAAGAGGTCAAAAATGGACCTCACAAGGGTGATTTAGAAATCTTAAATAGTATTGAGAGTAAAGACTTCCTTAAAAGTGCTTTTTTTGAAAGAACACAGTACTGCTTCTTTCTGACAGATTTGTGCCATCAATTTGTTATCTATGTATTTAACAGATTTTTAGTTTTGATAGCAATTTTTCATCAGGTCCTGATTTTAGTTAACAAAGTTTGGTGCATTTCTACTAGAATTTCTTTCGCTGACAATATTGAAAAGATCAGATTCTGTATATCAAATCTGTGATGTTTTTAACTATGAAATTTTTTGCGAGCATTTAGTCTGTTTTTGACAGACTTAGCTAGCAGAAAACTTATACTTATGCGATAAATGATATTATCACAATATCTCTAGTGAGTGATATAATTTTACATAAAACTTCACTCTTATTAGCTGTAAGTGAATTCTGTAGAATTCTGTATGCAAGAGTCAATAAGAGCAAACAACTTTTCACGTTCCCACACTAGAGAAACAGTTAAGTATGTAATCGATAAACAAGCCATTTAACGGCTCATTTGTCGATAAAAGCTTGGAAAGAATATGAGCCTTAGTTTCTACCGAGTCAATGAAAATCGAGATTAAGACCTATATGCAAATAACTGCAAAATGTAAATTCAAAATTACACACATTGCTAATGATCTTAAAGATTAATTAAATAACAATAATTCTTTCTCTTTGGAAATGAAATTCAACCAAAATTACTGATATTGGTTTTTCGCAATTCTAAGGTAAAAATATTATTCGGGTAATGTCAATATGTTTTTGGGACACCCTGTATGTATAGCATAAATAAGCAGGGCAACAAATCGCCATTCGCGTGTGTCCACTTTAGTCATACATAATTAATGTGAGCTCATGATAATTTAGAACAAATATATACAAATAGATTACATTACTTACAACCGACTGAATCCGAGATAGTGATGATTACGAACACAACACAACAAGCACCTTGCAGTAAGCACAAGCACAAAAATGAGTTTACAGAATTATCACTGATGAATCAAAATGTTTCACTATACTTAAAGAGTTCTTCTTTCTCATTAACATCAGAGAATATTGCAAACAGTGTTGCCAAGTGATAAGATAGTAATATCAACTGAACATCGAGGAAGTACCAACTAATGCCCAATTTCTTCACCTTTGATAAGTTCTCGATAACTTCATCTAAAAGATAAAGTATATTTTTTTGTATATCTTTATCCAAAGGAAAGCTATCGGGAAGTATGAAGAAATCGGCAGTAAAAATAGTTATATTAAAAGTCTGTTCTTTTTTTCTGCACTGGGGCTGCACGAAGCTGCACTATAGTACTGTTAGTGAATATCAGAACTCTACCTGATTTTTGCGTGTTGCAAATATGCGCATGCGCGTCCGTAGTACTGACGTATGTACGTGACCTTTACAGACATTTTTCTGTTTTGCAAGAGTAAAACAAAACGTTATACGATCTTTCTTTCCTGTGTAAACTCGGAATACATCCGTGACTCTGGACACAATCTATCCTTTTTTTTATTTATAGCTATTCTCAAATATTAATGTCAGCAGTCTCGATTATTCTCAATTATTAATATCAGCATTTCAATAGAATACAAAACTCAATATAAAAATATAGAAGCTTGTAATTATATACATATGCACAGTTTGAAGGAAGTCTCTTCAATATTTATTTATTGTAACATTTATTTCATCAAAGCATGCACCACAGCTTTAGCATTTAATGATTTCAAATCCGTGTAAGTTTGACCAGTTCCAACAAAAACAATCGGTTGACCTGTAGTATATGTCATTGTAATAGCAGCTCCGACCTACAAATAAGTTTTAGAATTATAACTTTATTTATGATAAAATACAAAACTTGTGAAAATTAATAAACGTCACGCGAAAGCGAAATAGTAAATAATTCATTAAAGTAGTAAAAAAAAGAAAAACTCAAGAGAAAGTTGGTCATTTATAATATTGAAACGCAAAATTACAGATTTTAGATTTATAGTAAGACCTATCATCAACATCGCAATAATTATATATATATAAAAGCTCCCGCTATTCCAGTATTATTAAGTTTCTTAGAATTGTTGAGACTTCAACATTCTCTTACATGAAAATTATAAAATAGCAGAAAATCCTACCTTATCATCAATCGTATCAAATTTCGTCAATACGATACCGTCAATAACATGAGGGTTGGCAGACTGACTGTAATCAGCCAAGGCTTGATTGAATTTCATCAGTTGATCCACAGCTTCATTGCCGACAAGAGCTTCTCCGACGAATAACACTAAGTCTGGCTCGTTTACTTTTATTAATTTTGTCAAAGCTCGCATTAAAGGTTCGTTATCCTGCATCCTGCCTGCGGTATCGATTAAGACAATATCAAAATTGGAATCTTTTGCGAAACGAATCGCTTCCATAGCAATGCCAGCGGCATCCCTGCCGTATCCTTTCTCGTATAGCTGCACCATTGACTGATTTCCGTATTTCTCTGGCGGATGCAAGGCATTTAGATGTCGCATGTGCGTTCTTAGTTGTTCGACAGCTCCGGCTCTAAATAAAAACTTATTATATAAAATAGATGATTACCTATCACATATTAGATAAAATATTAGAAGTATATGTCAAGATACCTAAACGTATCGCATGCGGCAATCAACACACGAAAATTATTTTCTATCAACCAGAAACAAATTTTCGCCAAATTCGTTGATTTGCCAACTCCATTTACACCGCAAAATGTCATTACATAAGGCCTATTATTTTTCTTTGCCTCTAAAGCATCTCGCAAAACGTCGATTCTTCTTTTGGGAGAAAGTATTTGCATCAGGGCATCTATTAAAGTAGTCTTCACTATATTAGTTATGCTGTCAAAAGTGCCTAACACTTTTCCTTCTAGCTTCATTCCGACAGAATCACATAATTTTTGAGCAATATCGGCGGCAACATTTTTGGCAATTAGATGATCCTTCAACTTCTCCAAAACTGGTAACATATCTTCTTGCTTTAGAGATTTACTGCCGACTAAACTTTTGAACATGGAGAACATGCTTGTCTTTTTTTGCACTTGCGGCTTAGAATACTCTTGATCGTAATCGTCTTCAGATTCGCTGTCAACTTCCAGATCGCGTATACCACCTTTCATCTGTCCAACTAGCTAGAAAAGATAATAAAAGTAAGAATAAAGGAATGATTAATATAAAGTTTAATGTATATACTTGGCTAAGAATGTACAGAGAAAAAAATGTATAAAACTTTTACTTAATAAAAGATAAATAAATTTTTTGATCAACTTAATTAATAAGATGCAAGAAAAATTATTACAGCTCTATTAGCTGCTATATAATCGTCACTCTTTTCAGGCTTATCTTTAGTACGTTCCAGTGTAGCAAGATCCTTAGCTGTTCCACTCAAATCCCAAATGCGTGGTTTTTTACCAGCCTTTTCAGGTTTAGGACTTTTCCTACATATTATTTATATATATATTAATACATGTATAAGATATATACATACGTATGTTATATAAAACATTAATAAATTTATATATATGATCGTGTTTGAATCGAATTACATTCTCTAAAACGTATTTTCAAAATTAAAAAAACAACACTTACTGTTTATCAGCTTTTTTCTTTTGTCCTACCATCTTCTGTGCAAGTTTCATACGATTGGCAATCAGTACATCCTCTTCAAGTTCTCCATTATGTACTACTGTCTGTTTTGGCACCTCCTGCTTTGTAATTTCTTGAAGTTTTGCTGATAGAATAAATTATTTTATAAAAAATCAAGATATTAATTATATTTTTTATATTCTTATGATTACTGATAAAACATAGACTTTGGAATTGGACCTAGAATTTATAGTTCTATAATTTTTTGCAAAAATTGAGTAGATCTTACTTACCATAATCCCCATTAGAATTAATGACTTTCTTCTTTGTACCTAGAAGTAAGAAACAAACTTGAGATATTGATTGAAAAAATTACTTTACAAAATACAAAAACTAGTTCGTGATTATAGATTAAAAATTCTGCAAAGTTTATTTCACTCTCTTTCAAATAGTAAAATTAGGCAAAAAGAATAAAGCACTAAAAGAAACAATATTATTAAATATAAACCAAAAAAAAGAAAAAAACAAAGAAATTGAATAATACTGATAAAATATGTCACTAAAAATTTAAATTAATACTATTTAAGCTATTTAAGTATTGCATTTTGCTTTTCTTTTGGATATAGTTCCGATAAGATTCATCCTCCAATTTGTATAAACATTTGTGAATGTTTTAAGGCTCTTTGATATTTTTGCAGCTATTTTGGATTGATAACGTCAGAAGGAAAGAAAATACCCAAAAGTGCATTTTATGTGAAAAAATTAAAAGTATGTTTGTGTTGCTTAAACTTCTTGAATTTTATTTTGTTTTTGTTTTCTTATCAAAGTATAAACACATATATCTGTCTTATTCAAAAATTGCAAAAAAGTGTAAACAATGCAAACAGATTTCATATTTTCTATGTTTAGTTTTTGCAATGACCAACGTTGCCACTATCAAATCGAATTTAACGCTTAAATATCAAAGAGCCTTAATGCTGCTAAATAAATATATCTAAAAGGATTTAATTCAAAAAAACTTTTAAATATGTTTATTAAGAAGCATTTAGGATCTTGACACAAAACTTCACGCAAATTGAAAGATAGACTTTTTCGTAACTACAGCCTTTCCTTTTTTATATTATATCATAGTCATACTTGACTTCTTATCATCCTTTTCATTTTTCTTCTCAATCATGCTAGCAACAGTTTTCTTGGACTTCTGACTTTCATCAAAAGTGCGCATTTGCTTCGGTATTTTAGCTTGTATCCGCGACCACTGCTCGGCCTTTTCAAGTAACACACGGTACACAGGCTCAAACTCAAAATGTGTAAACCAATTTGACCTCTCAAGCTCATTCTTGAAACGATCTCTAAACTCTAGATGGATGTCATTTAAAAATTTGTCCACATAAGATAACTGCAATATCTTTTGATATGCCACCACAAATACTAGCTCAAATTCATTGTCGAGTTTGTACTGCAACCTCAGAGAATCATGCTCAAAGCTTTGAGTCCCTGTACGCTCCTGTGTGTAAAAATTAAACTTTTCTTTTTATAAAGAACTTTATTTGCTACATATATTATTTTATTACCTACTTAAGTAATTAATTCAGACTCTTAATAAAATATATACATAGTATTCTTTCTGTTAAAAGTTATTTAAGTTAATTATAACTACGTAATAACTAATGGCAGTAAGATATATTTAAAATATTTCATCTTATCAATTCTAAAACTTTTTTTAATCACTTATTATTAGTAGTAATGAAGTATAGTACAAATAAACAAATATTTTTTTATAGAAGGAATAATTGTTTTGTTGAAAATAATAATATAACAGAATAAAAAGATCAAAAGAGTAAACATTTAAAACGTTAAGAATTAATACTGTAAGTAATAAAAACAAAAATCAAAATAATGCAAAATTAAATGCAAAAAAAATTGTTTTTAGGAAAATTGCCAATTTCTATATCATTCTCGATCAACTTCATCAGTTGATTAAGTGAAATCACCAATCGTTGATGCGTAATCAAATGATTACGTTAACTGTGTTAACCAGAGTTGGTAGAAACAAACATATGTATAGGTGAGTTTATTAATTTATCAATGGATTAATTGCATTAATTTATCGATAGATAATCATACAAATACAGATTTGCTCCGTGAAAGCTCTGCATTTGCGCATAATATGATTAATCCATTAATAAATTTCAAAACTTGTCCACATAATTCAAGATCAAAGTTTAACGTACAGTTTTAACATACTATGTCAATTTGCCTACTCAATACTAAAGCCAGCAATTTACCTGCAATATGACACTTCTAATCAGAGCATTAACACTGGGCGCAAAAATATGTGACGTGCTCTGGAAGCACCAAAGCACTATGCCGCCCTTGCTAAATATTGTAAAAAGATCGAGCATTATTCACCACAATAAAATACACCTTTATGAGAAAAAGAAGCTTATGGAAGCTTGACAAACCACATCACAACGTGCCAAACTACCAACAAGTTAAGCTCGTGTTACATTACAGGTTCGAAGTTTGTTCTTTTTTTCATATCTAAGGACTGAACTCTTTGAAAAGTGCATTTACGCTAAAAGCATTCTTTTCATCGAACATGACGTCACACCGGGCTGTTCTTTTTCAAAGTACTACAACGTTCTTTTGTATTGGTCGATTTTTTCAATATGACCAATCCGATTGGATATTGGGGATATGACCTGTGCTCGCTAACGTTAAGAGCGCTAAATCGAACTTACTCAAGGTGCAAACGTGGAAGAGCTAACATGGCTACTGTCTAGTGACGTTTATGTTCGGTTATCGTGATGTCAGATGCTTGGAAAAACATCTGGTGACCCGTCAAGCAACGTGCTGCCGATAGCATTCCGTCAAAAGAATACGCGAAGAGAAAGGCTAGTGCGAGAGCGCGTGTAGTGAAGACACGATGATGAACATGTGGAAAGTACGGGAGCTAATGGACAAAGCGTAAGTTTATATTCCATGAAAGCGCGATATAACCTTGCCTTGGTTTTTTTAGAACATTCCGTTGCATTTCCTAACACGTCTTACTTCTCATTAATATGTATGTACGATCGCGTAAATATGGAAATCCTATAAACATATCACTCTCTATTAAAAACATTAAAATTTATGTAAATGCGATTTTTATTTGTATTGTAAAAAAGAAGATACGCGTTTGAAAATATCCAGTCGATTGTATTGGTTTTGCTGATACAAACTGTATAATCGCTTTCGATACATCTCGTTCTCAAGAGGTAAATGTAGAACGAGGGGAAGAGAGAGAAACTCGTAAAACTGGAACGTCGTGGGTAATTTTATGACGCGACCTTGAGATTTGATAGTACTAAATGATGTAAAGTGAGAAAGACAATCTCAAAAGCAAATAAGATATTAAACGGGGTATTAAACTTTTCTCTTTTTTAATGCATTTGAGATATATGTACATCTTATCAACTGTATTCGATGTTGCAAACTTTTGCACATATTTTAAACATTTTTATAGCAACTTTTATTTATTCTTGCTGTAATCCTCTTGTTTAAATTTCATTATTTTAATATCTAATTATATAAAAATACATCTTTATGATGATTGGCAGATTTTAATTATCAATTTAAAACTTATCAGAATATACTTTTATAATGCACTGAGACAAAATATTTTCCATATTGGATACTTAGTTTATATCTCGTATATAGAAACTATTCTTACCTTTCTATGAAATTTAAAACACCGTTGCAAAAAAATCAGCCTAGTCAGGAGTTAAATCCCAATTTCCTGCATTCTGAACACCTTTTCTATCATAGATCATAGATAAATTTAAAGAAAAATTTAACTTAAAATTTATTTTTATAATTACTTTAAATAAATTATTCAATTCACAATTTACAAGAAAAAACACATATGTATACATGTATACACAATACACATATACTATAAATTTTATTTCTAGGACCAACGTTGTAATGAATTATACGGAAACAGAGGCCAAAGTTCGAGAGGCAACAAATGATGATGCATGGGGGCCAACAGGTATGTCAGTAATATAATTTTTTTGATGATAACTATATGTATTATAAATTATTTATATCAAAAAATAAATGTTGTTTAAGGGGCTATGATGCAAGAATTGGCTCAGGCTACATTCACATATGAACAGTTTCCAGAGGTAATGTCTATGCTCTGGAAAAGAATGTTACAAGAGAATAAACGTAATTGGCGTCGAACATACAAGGTATGATCACATAAAAAATAGCTTTTATGATCAAGAGAGTTTATATATGCTATCAAGTTGCTTACAATGTAAGATTTTTATTTTATTTAAATGTATGTATGTGTATGTATAATATTACAAATTAGTAAATAATATACAGAAATTGATATAAGTGCATGTTACTTTATTAATTTTTTGTCTATTCTTTTTACAGTCATTGCTTCTTCTTAATTATTTAGTTCGTAATGGTTCAGAACGGGTTGTCACATCGTCACGCGAACATATCTATGACCTTAGATCTTTAGAAAATTATACCTGCCTCGACGAATTTGGAAAAGATCAAGGAATAAATATTAGACATAAAGTTAGAGAATTAATTGATTTTATTCAAGATGATGATAAACTTAGAGAAGAAAGAAAAAAAGCTAAGAAAAATAAAGATAAATATGTTGGCTTATCTAGTGAAGCAATAGGAATGAGATTTGGTGGTGGTGATAGATGGATGGATAGTCCTAAATGGAACAAATCTAACGTAGAGACGTACAATGATTGGGATTGTCGCGGAAAAGGATTTGAGGATGGAAATAATAGGTATATATCTAACATATTGATACATGTATATTTGAGCAGCACTGAATTGTGTGCGACTAGACGTTATACAATTAGAATAAAAGGATCGTGAGCTAAGACCGAAAAAAACGGCTTAAACTATATCAAAGTTGTTTTTAACGTTCTATCAACCACGTTTAACTTTTTTTTAATATTTAGTAATTTGAGTGAATTCTCGTAATGTAAAATTTCATATTTTAATTTTACAGCGATGACGGTGAAAGAGAAGACTCGGACAACGACACTAGTCCAAGGAAAAGTGGAAGAGAATATAAAGATACAGTGGATAATGTAAATCAAATCGCTAAACCTGCTCAAATATCTATACTTTCTACAAACATATCTCCATCACGAATAAGAACTGTTAAAAAAGTAGATCTTGGAGCAGCAGCAAGTTACGGAAAAGAACAATCTAATGTAAGTGCAAAGGAGTTTTATGTTATATTATATATAATATATTTTTATTTATTTTTATTAATGTTTTTTATATTAATATATAATAATATATAATGATTTATATCTAATAAAAACATTATCATGAAAATTTTAAGTTATAATCAAAACATATTTTTGTATTTATAGAATAATGTTCCAGTACAACAAAATAATAGTTTATCATCGGCGACAAATCAACAGAAGACTAAAAATGATATACTGAACGATATTTTTGAATCACAAAATGACAATAGTAGATTAGACGATGACGATTTTAATCCAAGAGCAAACACTCAGTCCTGCATTCAGCAACAAAACACGAATTTAGAATTCGGTGATTTTACCAGTGCATTTAATAATTCTGCGGTTAAGATGAAGGATGACAACGATGAATTTGCCGACTTTACGTCTGCTTTTAAGAATGTTACAATATCTAATCCTTCAAGCCAGCCGCAATTGCCGCAATCGCAAATTAATTTGATGGGTGTAACTATGCCACCTGTGAATAATTCGATAGTAAATAATATGAGCATCAATAATGCAGTACAAACAGCGGGTACAACAGCATTATCTGTGACTCCTGTTATTCAAAACTCTAATGAATCTAATGATCTTTTTGATTCTCTTTCACCGCAAAGTCTCAGCAGTCAGATAACCAATAACAATACAGGTAATATTATTAGATTTTAAATGATAATTTTACGGACAATTTGTAATTTTAATTCAATAATCAAACTAATGTTTTTTTTAACTACTACAGATCTCTTATCTAACTTGGATACTTCAGCGAGGTTGCTTGATGGATGTATAAATCATAAAAATTCCAATATTTTTATGCGAACAAACAACACATCTAACACTGTCAATTACGCAGGTGAGTGTAGTTAAATACATACTTTTTTTAGTCACATAAATTAGTGATAATTTGCTGTAGTTACATAACGTGTGTGCGTTAGTAACGTTCACTGTCATACATATATACACAATGTCTATAAATTAGTGACGAGTGAGATTTTATGAAATGCATTAAAACGGTAGAAGAAACGGGATTTTCTGAAACACGATTCACACTATACATAATGTTACCGTCATCTTGAGCCTATTTATATAACTTCGTAACGCGCACGTATACTGTTAACGTATTTTTGCGCAGAGATTGCAATAACATAACATGAATTCTGCTTTATATTTTGTGACAATATTAGTTATTCATTAGTCGCTTGATAATAAATATTAAATTAGTGGTGCATGCGTTTCTGTAAAAAAATGCGTGTGTGAAAAACAAATTTTCTACGTTTGAAGCTAATGTAATTCCCCCAAGATAGTCTTTCTTGCAGCTTGTAAAACAGAAGAGAACGTTGTGTCGACCGAAAGTCAATCGAATAACGCCGCCAAACAATTGCTGGAAGTATTGTGCACTGTGTGCCAAATTAAGAGTTGCACCGATTTGGAGAGAATAAGATCGTCCATTACTAACTACGTCAGATTTTTGCCAGGGCCTCTTACTCCTCAAAAATATACTGGTCTTGATTCTGGTGTGAAAGTGGATACTATGTTGTATGGAAGAATTTTAGAAGAAATAATCAATAAGTTTGATCATACAGACGATTGGCCATTAAATAAGAACGACTTAGATCCCCTCATCAAAAAATTAATAATAGTCGATGGTGCAACTATCTTTATGTTGTTGGAATCTTTGAGAGCTTTAACTGTCGCTTTAAACGAGTCCAAAGAAGAGAAAAAAATTCGTACTATTTCAATAATATTGGAAATTCTATTAAAGAGTGATGCAGTATTTTCGGGAATGGTGGACGCATGTAATTGTGGAGCGCAATTACTGCAGGAGGAACATATAAATCAAGCCTGGCAAAATACAATACAAATATTGGTATCTTTACCAAATCGCGTGTCTAATAAGTTAAAGTTTAACATGTTAGAATCCTATGTGCCGCAAGTTTACGTAAAGATACTCTGTTATCACACATGTCACGCAATATCGTTTGTCAGTTATGGCTTATGGAAATATGACATTAAACCAAAAACAGACGTACTTTCATCTTTAATTAACAAAATTGTAATAAATTTCAAGCCTGTTAATTTTACTTTCTTTGTTGATATCTTAAAAGAATGGTGTTTTGAAAATAAGAACGAACGATGTTTAATTGAAAGTATATTTCATGAATTAGATTCGGTTACCATTGAATACATAGCTACTTTATTGTTGAAAAGTTGTGATCCTAAACTCGGTGTGCGTCCTGTTTTCGGAAATTTGTTAACGGAACCAAGTTGGAAATATGTTTTAACAACAAAAATCCCTTTAATGCGTTATTACGAAAATGAAAAACTTGTTATAAACTTGATTTCCTACTTCTCATCTTATTCAGACAAAAGTATTTTATCCGAATTATTAATTAAACTCTTAGAGATTTGGAGCGATAGCAGTATTTTAAATCATATACCTATGGAACAGCACAAGTACATTACACAGTTGATTATTCTATCTGTAAAAGCGTGTAAAAACCATTTGAAGCAAACTGAAATAGAGCAATGCCAAAAATTATTGTTTTCTGGGATATCTGTTCATCTTGAATGTACAAATGTTTTCTTACGAACGATAGGTATGATGACCACTGAGATTTGTATAAACTCTTTGTCTAATGCGGATGCACCAAAATTAAAATTCGAATATAACAGCTTTTCTGAACAAATATTACAAGAACTCGAGTCTTTGAAAGATTTAAATGCACTTGAGTTACCTATAGATTCAAAAGAGCAGTCTAAACAAAGCAACGAGGTAAATAATGAGAATATTGAGTTTAATTTTCTGATTAACAGAAAAATTTATGAATTGGCTATTGAATGCCATATTGTTCCCGATCTAGAAAATCTAACGAATAAAAACAAAGAAGATAGTACTTCGAGAAGTATCACGATAAAAGATATTCCAGTGGAAATGAAAACAATAAAACAGCAGATTGAACCAAACTGCGATAGCAGTTCAGATTTGGATAGCGACGATGACTTAGTTCCTTACGATATGAGTGACAATAAACTGTGTAATAAAACACGCCCGAAATATTTACGAGATTTGTACAAGAATTTAACAGATGAACGAACCATCACTAAACCCGATATTTTTTCGGAATCCTTGTCAGTCTGTGAAGAATTAATACTAACGCAGTTACTAAACGATGATGTATCCTTCGCTATAGAACTGTTGCAACTTCTCGTAACGTTAAAAGAACATTCGTACGTCGAGAACTTTGCACTTGTAGTTTTCAAATGTTGCGTGGCGATAGTAACTGTGCGTCCTAAAGAATGTGCAGAGTTTTTGTGCAAAGAATTTTACGAGGAAGATGGGAAATATTCACTAAGTCAGCGATTACTGTTTCTGGATATATTAGCCGAATCTGCGAAACGATTGTCAAAATTCACTGTTGATAATACGAATAGCACTGACGATGCCATTAATACAACAATTAAGAAAAAGCAGATTTCGAGCCCTATATCGCTTTTTATAGATATGGAGGAAAGTAAGAAACAACAAATATGGTACAATGAAGAAATTGAAATTGATCTGGAAGCATCAGAAAATCGATCTTTAAACTGGCAAGAAATTATTGATAAAAGAGTTGCATTACGTACGAGACGATTTGCACATGAATCAAAATCTCCAAAAACTTATATTAATAAGTTTGGGAATGTTGTATCGTCGTTTTTTTATCCGCTTTTGCACGGGTTTGGTCGTCCAGATATTTATAAACTTAAAGGCTTAAAAATTTATAAGGATCAAGAAAATATTCTGTTATTACGTTTTTTGAAGACATTATCCACTATAATGTTAGCGGCACAAAATTGTCCACTGGCATCAAAGATGGGCAAGGAAATTTTAGAACTTACATGGACATTGAGGAACCACAATGAAGCGACAGTAAGATTAGCTGCTGTAGAAAATATCGCTTCCGTGCTTGTAGCAGTGCCGAAAGATGCTATCGTCAGTGAATTGTTTGAACTTTTGATGGAAATAAGAGAGTGGCTTTTATTGTCACAGAATGTCATCTATGGCGAACATGATGCAAATTGTAGAGCGTTAAACGATAAAGTATTGTCTTTTGTCACTTCACTTATTGGATCCGCTTTTAGTATAAAAACTAATCAAGAATAATTATTGTTCTTATTGTCGAACTGTTTACAGCATTATTATAACATTAAATTCATGGAAAAGTTTTAGCGTAAATCTATGTAAATTTTAGCATAAAATGATAAGTTACAATCAATCTACATGTAATTTCTAAACTATACTATACATATATCAGTTAATACTAGTAAAAGCATTTACTTTTGTAGAGAAAAACATTTAACATGTATTTGTATATGCATGTATATATACTTACAAAATTTAATCGATTGAACGATTAAAGTCACAGGCATATATATATATATATTTTATTGTAATATATATATATTCCATTAGATATAAAATTACGTGTGTAATAAAAGTGTACATTTGTATTTTTAATATCACACTTCAATATGAAAAAATGTTCCCTTTTTAAAATGCTCCACAAATTTTTAATGAGAAATAATGTCATTCAAGCAAAAAACAATTTGATTAAAAATATTCTAAAATATTGAAAAACACGAGATTTATAGATATACAACGAACAAGTACAAGATAGTGATCATAATATGTGTTACGAACTAAGATTAGTGTCGTATTTAGGAACGATTGGATTGTCACCTGTTACGAATCTTCTACCACCCACTTCCACTAATACAAAGAATCAAACGTCTAGTAATATGACGTCTTCTATGCAAATCGGTTCAACGTGGGCTGGTTCGGGATTAAATATTGACCTCGATAATATAATGGGTAGTAAAACAAAACAAACCGGCTCAGCACCGACAATGAACCAATTAGCTAGCAACAGCCCACAACATCAGATGAAAATAACACGTAAGTCATTCTTTAACTACTTAAGTTAATTCAAGTTCTATTTGTGCGTGTGTGTGTACTGAATACTATGTAATTTGTAAATTATAGACAACACTTCTGAGTGAAATATTAGTTATATTTTATTGTTTCTTTGCTATCTACACAGTCAAATCTCTCTATCGTGATTACTCTTTTTATCACTTCCACATTACTATTATAAATAAATTTTTTTATACTTGTTATGCGTAGAATAAAAATAATTTATGATGCGTTTTAATATGCTACTGTTGTTAAAAAGTGGAGGAGAGTCACAATAAAAATCGAATTTAGTCCCGACCGATTAACAATACGAGAGACTCGACTGTATGTATGTACATATATAATTGTACGTACATGTAAATTAACTGCATTAGTTTAAATATCATTTTAAGAGAGCCTTATAGAAGTTAATACAAAAAATAAAAAAATTTTTAAATAAAAATGTAAAATTATGTGTGTGCGTAGCACCAGGAATGTCATCGATGGTTCAATCTCTGCCACAAAACCAACCGCAGCAACCCAATACAGCGTTCTTTCCCGCATTCGAATAAAGAATTATTGGATAATTTAACTGAAGGCAGTATTTTCTCTCTTCTATATTTAAAAAAGGATATTCGTAAAAATGGAATAAGTCTTCATTAATGATACATTAATGACAAACTACACTTAAAAAATTGCGATTTTACTATTATTCTTATCGTAAACTTCAGAGATATAAACTAAAAAATTAATAATCAGAATTTTACTGTTACAATCGAACCTCACAAAGTGAAATGAAAGAATTTCTTTGACTAAAGTACTTCTTTTATGCTTAAACTATTATATACACAATTGCTATACAAGCACAGACAGGAAATAATCTTGTGACAAGTTTCAATGCTCTTGATTATTATCAATAGAAGGAAAATTTTATAATATTATGATTAAATCTGGTCCTGAAAATTTTGCTTCAATGAGGTTTGATTGTATCTCGAATTTCTAAATATCATACAATATCTTTTCACTTCAGAAATTAGTTTTTATGGTTGGCTATTTACTTTCTAAAATTTTGTTATTTAAAAAAGTATTATGTGCGTAATATTAACAAAATGCTTGTTTCAATCTGCTTTAGCTTTGTTATTTTGCTCAAGCCAAACATATTATTCCAAGAATATACCTAAACATACTTAAAAAGAAAGTATCAAACTTTCAAAGAGCATATAATAATAAGAAATATCACAGTTTCAATTTCTTCGAATGAGAATATAACCCTTTAAGACAAAAGTCTTAAAGAATTATATACATATACATGTATATGTGTGTGTGCGCGCGCGTGTATATATTTCAGCATATGCTAAAATTCGATTTTTTAGTGGTTACAAATTATTTAAGTGATTCACAGAGATATAATGAATTTGATACATATTTTTTTGCCTTGGCCGACTATAGTTTATACAGAATTAAATGTTAAGTCAAACATATATTTAATACAATTCTTATTTGGATAAATTTATAAAATAAATGTTATTGTAATTATTAATATAAAAAATATAATTTATACAGAATTAAATGTTAAGTCGGAATTTTACTGGGATGTAAAAGAAATTACAAAAAAGTAGTGACTGATTGTTACCGACATTAATCATTGAATGTGCTTCGAGAAAAAAAATCTGTATAATCTTGTACATCATGGGTTTTTAAAAATAAGAAGTAAAATTAATATGAGAACAAAAACAAACAACTGAAGACAAATCTCATAAATGCAAATAATATACAATAATAACAAATAACATAAGGAAGATCAATTAATTTTCTAATTATTGCGCGCGCAAAGCAGCTAATAAATGTGTGTATGTTTGTGAGAGTGTGAGTAATTGTGTGTTGTGTGTATATATACATATATAATCTAAATATACAAAGACTAAAAACAAGAACAGCATTCCTTATAGATGCATGTAATATGTATGTGAATAAGCTACTATACTATTTGCGAATTACGCGGGAACAAATTTGGCAGGAATTATCACTGTGTGTATTTTATATATAATGTATATTAGTTTTGGGAAGGAGAATATCGGGATTATGCCTTATTATAAACATTGTATAAAAATATATACATACTGCGAAAAAATTGAGAGAATACAATATAAGTAGTCGCATCTTCTTTTATCGTGTATATTATTAGAATATGGATATACAATTGGTATAAAAGTTGATGCTTTTAGAAAACTATAAAGCTATAGAAAAAAAGATGGTTATTACATTAGAGTCCCAAAAAGACATATATGTAAAATGGTAGCAACAAAAAAGGAGTTATGCGAAAGATTATTGTAAATTATAGATATTATTAAACCTTAGTGCTTCCTTCTCTTCCGATTATTACGGAAGAACCTATAATTAATTATTGAATCTTTTTCGTAAAAAAGATGTAAAAACGCGGTGTATTTTTAACATATATTGTAAAATTAAAGTTTAAAGCTTTTGAATACTGATTGCAGTTACATGGAATTGTGACGTTAAAAGTAAAAAATCATAAATTTTTGTTATGTATAATTTACATAAAAATATAACTTTTCTAAATTTACAGATTATAAATGAATATTTTGATTATTTATCATATAAAGTCTAGTTTTGCTCAAAATATATACGCACAAATAGTTTGAACTATATATATGTATATTTGTAGATATATGCGTACAAAGGAGAATTTTTGGCGCAATTTTTGTGCTATGAATTACTAATAGTGATATATGAAAACAACTTATGATAAAATTTCATGATTTTTCAAAGTTTTTGTTACATAATTCAATATAGGTGCAACGAGTATCCAGAAGCCTACAATTGATTTGAATTTATGCACAAAATTGACATAGAAAACTTTTTGTGCTTTATTCGGTATCAATTGCGTACGCGATTATAAATAATAAATTGTTTAAGAATTCTCTTAAAAAGAGTCGTGTAATTACCATAGGTTAAAGAATTAATCTTTAGCATATTATATGATATTATATAATTGTCAAAAGTTTGAACGGACAAAAAGATTACACACTAGCATTTGATTATATTACTAACAATAAAATAATACATATCGACAAAAGAAATGTTTATGAGATTAATTGATCTCTAATAACCATGTGTGTCATAATATATATTACGATAATACAAATTATTTAATATAAGTATTAATATAATATTTGTAATAAATATTAGTACACACACATATTGTATTTAAAGAAGCAAAAAGAATGAATACGCTCTTGATCGGTTTTCCTCAAAATGGTGATACCGATCAAAAGCGAAAGTGATAGCGGGATTTATACCATGTGTTGCTTTATCTTACACAATTCTCTTTGCTCTGTTCCTGTTGAATCCGCTGCTGGCGTATAGGTAGCGCACATGCGCACATGCAATTACGAATTATGATAGACTGGTGAACTCCTCAACTCGACAGAAACATAAGCTAATTAACTATAAGACAATTTACAGAAATTTATAAGATGCCTGAAAATGTTCGCGTCTTACCTCGAGTTTTTACGGCAATACAAAATGTCGATATTAAAGAGTTATCGTTGTGTACACATAAAGAAATTAGACCTATTCTACCGTGTTTGGTTAGGATGAGTCTCATTTCGCCGCTTGACATTACGAAGGAGTGTGTGGAGGGTAGAAAACAAGTCCTGACAATATTGTCGGGCATCGAATCAGTCAATTCTATCATTGCCCTCTTGTCAATAGATTTTCATGCGCTTGAAACTGACGTTCGACAGGAACAACAAATAAGGTTAGAATTTGCACTATCCGTTTTATTCTATGTACACATGATGTATTACACACATATGAGAGTTAAAGTTTTTATTAAATCATACCGTTGTTATATACAATTATACAGGTTTGTAAATTTAAGATGTTGTCTTTAGACAGAAACTTGGCAGTGGACAAAGGGACAGTATATTGGCACAGTCTCTGCAGAACGGATTAGCTCTGGAATTCGAACGCAGTGAATCTATTCGTCGAATCAGACTAGTACTTAGTGAAATCTTGTTCATAGCTTCTCAGATACAGGAATTACAGAAAAATCAGGAATTTCAGATTAAGCAGTCAGATTTGTTTGATAACTCAGTCTATATGGAAGAGATTAGCTATGTGATCTGTATAGCTCTTGCAGAATTGCCAACACTATTGTGTATACTGGATATTGTGGAGACTTTGCTGCATGTCAAGCATGGTCCAGACATTATATGCTGGATTGTTGCTAATAGCCCAGATAGTTTTTTGGAAGTATGTACTCATCTGATTGCAAATGGAGAACGGCAAGAAGAATCTGCACTAGGCAGAATTAGAACACAAGCAATCACAATGCTCTGTGAGATGAATCCAAGTCAAGCACTTGCGGTCAGAGCTAAGTGTGTAGAACTGTGCAGAATGCCTGCTCTAGCTATCACTTTGAGTTTAGAACATGAAACGACCAACAGCTCGCAGCCTGAAAGCGATGTAGTCGCTTTTGTGTCTGGTTTGTTGCTCGGAAGTGATCAACAAGTACGTTCATGGATCGCTATGTTTATAAGAAACGGGCAGAAGCGTAAATGGGAATCTCAAACAGCATTGCAATCACTTCGCGACGAGTTGCTCAAACGATTGCAAACGATCGCATCACAGTGCACAGACAGTCAGTTGATAGAGTCACAGGTCGTGCAAGCAAGTGCATTGCTCAGACTTTACTGCGCTCTCAGAGGTATCGGCGGCATCAAGTTTCAGGACGAGGAGATCGCGATGATTGTGCAACTATTGACATCGCATCCGCCACCATCGCCAGCTGGTGTCAGATTTGTCTCTCTTGGTCTATGCATGCTAATAGCTTGTCCATCGTTAATTGGACATCACAATTTAGAGAAGCGCAGTATTGAATGGGTTCAGTGGCTGGTGCGCGAGGAAGCCTATTTTGAAAGCGCAAGTGGCGTAACAGCCAGTTTCGGTGAAATGTTACTGTTAATGGCGATACATTTCCATAGCAATCAACTGTCTGCGATTTGCGAGCTGGTGTGCGCCACTCTAGGCATGAAGATACCTATTAGACCAAACAATCTTACACGGATCAAACAGATCTTCATGCAAGAGATATTCACTGAGCAGGTAGTTACTGCGCATGCTGTTAAAGTACCAGTAACCGCAAATCTAAACGCCAACATTCCCGGATTTCTGCCGGTCCATTGTATCCACCAACTGCTCAAGTCAAGAGCATTTGCAAAACATCGTGTACCCATTAAGGATTGGATATATCGACAGATATGCGCGAGTGTGCCACCTCTGCATCCAGTTCTACCCGCTCTTGTAGAGGTTTATGTAAACTCTATTCTTGTAACTAACAATAAAACATCCGAGCATACTAAGCCCATTACTGAGAATGAGATTCGCCGAGTATTTCAAAATAGTGTGTTTGGTGGGAATTTCGACTTGAAGAAAAGTCCCGTCGTGCCAATGGACGTTGACGCTATAGACACATCGAGACCTTCACTTACCTCTCAGTTGTTGCTGTTATATTATCTACTGTTATATGAAGACGTGAGATTGTCTAACATGCATACTTTTATATCGCAAGGTAGAAAAGTCAAATCATACTCTACAGAATTCTTGTCCGAATTGCCGATCAAGTATTTGCTGCAGTTGGTGCAGCGAGATCAAATCAACTACGCAAGTCTATTTTCACCTCTTCTTCGGTTGCTGGCCACTCATTTTCCGCATCTGTCCTTGGTAGACGATTGGCTTGACGACGAGATGATCAATATAGATTCCGCAATCGCAAGTTACGAGAGCGCAAAAGTTAGTAATGTCGCAATCGTTGAAGCATTTAGCCATGTTAAAAGTTGTCCTTCGAGAACCGGTAGACTGTTGAGACACCTGATGACATTAAAACCAACAGAAATTTGGCCACACGCTGAGCTGATAATACATTATTTCAAAGACATTCTTGATGAACAGGTTCCCCGATATATACAAGGTACTATTTTAATATTCTCTCGTTTTTAGTAGAGAATTATTTTTAATAGTTTTATTTTTATTATAAAATTAATGTATGTTGAAACTATTTAATTTGCTTACGATGCAGAAGAGATGTACGTTATTAACTTAGAGACTTAAAAGACCGGATGATGATTGTAGCTTACGGATGCACGGCATCAAATGTCTCTGATTATATGAGTGTTAGAGCATCATTTTATCTTTATCATTTATTAAAACATCTCATTCTATCCTTGGTTTAAATATAAACCAAGGATAGAATGAGTCTTGCTGATAGCGCACTTTCTGAACGCATTCTAGATGTTAATAAGAAACCAATAGAAGAGTTTTCATATTTCAGAACTCTATAAACAAGTATGGCTTAGATTGAATACAGTGTTACCACGCTGTCTATGGGTCCTCTCCATAAACGCACTACTAATAGAAAATTCAATTGTAAAAAACGTCTTTTTGACACAAGACAATATAGTCTTAGATCCATTGCAAGTATTGAGATGTGACACACGAGTTTTTAGATGTGCGCCGATCTTATCTGTGATTCTTAGGCAAGACGGTTTGATTAAAGACAGAAATAAATTATTATTAAGAGTTATTTTCAGTATAATGACAATCGATTAAATTGTTTTAATAGGATTTTGCAAGCCACGTTAGCTGCATCGCGATCTCAATTATCTAGACATATGCAAGATAAGCCATTAACTGAGAAAGTTGGACAATTAACGAGCGAATCGGAAAGAGAAGATTTAAGGATAGCTCTGGTCGCGGGTCAAGAAAGTGCAGCGGTACAAATTTTATTGGAAACATGTCTCGAAACGAAAGAAGACAAAAAAACACCTGGGCAAATGTGGTCTCTTCGAGAAATACGAAGCGTCGTGTGCTCATACTTGCATCAAGTATTCATAGCTGACCCGTCTTTGGCCAAATTAGTTCACTTTCAAGTATGTTATTTGAATCAAATATATAATATATGTATAAACTATGTATCGTGTCGCGTACTCCTTTACAAACTTCTATATATCATGATAATATTCCTGTTATTTGCAGGGCTACCCACGAGAACTATTGCCTATTACAGTTTCGGGAATTCCATCCATGCATATATGTCTTGACTGGATTCCGGAATTGTTATCACAACCTGAGCCGGAGAAGCAAGTATTTGCAGTTGACTTAGCGTCACATCTGGCAATTCAATACGCATTACCGAAGGCTTTGAGCGTTTCTCGGTTAGCAATTAACACTCTGATCACGTTATTAGGCGTCTTATCCGCCGAGGATCGAATTGTTCTCTTCATGCCGGTATTATCGTCATTGACGCGAATATGCCTGGCCTTTCCTCCATTAGCCGAAGACACCACAAGTTTGTTGCTCCAATTAGGTAGAGTCAGTTCAGCTCAAGCTGCCTTGGGTGACAAAGCAGCGGATTTGTTGTGTCAAGAAGTAAATTCGACATTTTGTACTCTGCTGCAGAAAGCTATATTGCAATCGCGAGTTTATTGAAACACTTTGTTAACTTTAAGCTAGCGCTAGCGATTATGCGCGACCGTTTGATTACTTGATGTTATATTTGTAAGATGTACAAAAGGACAAAAATTTTCTATTACTATTATATTTCTTTATTCTATTTAATAATATATATATTTTTTCTCATACATAAGAACACTGATATATGATTTTTATTCTGAAATTTAAAAACTTGAATAACATCTACACATATACAAAAGAATTATATCTAATATCTTTTTTGTCTCTTATAGAGATGAGTAATTGTCTTATAATAAGAGAAAAAAATTAATATATATTTTCTATTTTGATACAAATGATGTGAAAAATATATGTAACAATAAAGAGAAAAACAGGTTACTCTATCACGTGTATTTACAGAATTTATTACATGCCAAAATCAATATATTTCATATCTTTTCACAATAATTTGTCGTGTTTTGAACGCTATTACGATTTTTTCAAGAATTTTAATATATGCAAAATGATAGAGAATTACATACATTATATTCCTCATTAAACAAACAATTGTTGAAGATCACAAAATTGTAGTCCTTACTAAGGCTTCCAAGAATTTTCTCCGGAATATTTAGATAACATACAAGGAATTTGTCTCACTTTTCTTTTGTTACCAAAGTACAATCTCATTCGTTACGGATTCGCGATTTTTTATTATTCAGATATTTCAAATAATCCGTATTTATAGCATTGAAATTATTTACTATACTCTGATAGCATCAAATTTGAACAAACCTTGGAATTCTTACAATTATGTACGAGTATGGTATATTATGCAATATATATATATATACACATATATATGCAATACATATATATACATATATATATATATATATATCCACACTCTTAGAATACATATTTCAGATCATATATTGTTATTAACACATAAAGTCAAGTGTGCAAGCTTGTTTATTCTAAAGAATTTAAAGTCAATAGCTGCTTTAACACTTTGGTTTGACTTGTCTCTCTGATCTCACCTGCTAAGAACATCTCATCCACAACAGTGTAAACCTAAAATTATGATCTTATTTTTATCTTATAATTTTAGGATATTCTATATCACACATTCACAAATATATACACACATATATATGTGGAATATGTTTATAATTTGAGAACTAAATAATATAACTGATCAAACTTCATGAAATTAATTGATAAATAAATAAATTATCATATAAATGTATTAAGCATGTATTTACAAAACTTTAACAGTATAAATTGCCAAAAAATACTACCTTATAAAAATTGAAGACTAAATCCAATTCACATACATTATGGAAATATTCATTCAATACCTCTACGAAATTATGAATTGCTTCTAAGTAACAGAGATTATTATCATTAACGTCAACACAGATGCAGAAGTATAAACCTGCATATCTTCTATAAACAATTTTAAAATTGCGAAACTGAAATAATGTATTAAAATTTATTTATTTTGTGTGTCTGTTAATATATTTATTCAGATTATTTTTGCATATATAAGATTAAAATTGTCATGTTAAACTTACCTCAACAAAATTTGTATGTTTTGCATCTCTGACAGTAACTACTGCATGAACCTCTTCTATTAATTTCTGTTTTTCATCATCATCAAAATTCATGTACCACTTAGCTAATCTAGTCTTACCTGCTCTGTTTTGTATAAGAATGAAGCGTATCTAAGACAAAAAAAGATTGCCATTTGTCCCTATTTAACTTATTCATCAGTAATTTGAAATGTTTGCATTAATTATTTATCATAAATCCAAAGTTCATCGAATGCTATGTATTAGAATCTAAGTTTGTCAAAATTGTGACACAACCACCTGATAGAAATACCAAAATCAATTAAGCAAGATGACATTTTCAAGTACATGTACCTATTTTCTTGCGTATTATTATCTTATATCTAAATTGTTAATAAAAAGAAAATATTGATTTACTTTACATAACAAAAAATATTTACATACCATATTAGCAAAGTGATCAATTTAAGCACTGAGCGTAACGCTTTGCAAAAAGTCTTTTTTATGTTCTCTTGAATGACACACACAACTTTACACGCGCGCACATTCACACAGTACCACATATGTACATATATGATAGGAGATTTAATCCAAACTCTGCCCATCAACCATAAACAATAGAAAATCAAGATTTGCGACTCAAAGTCAGTTTATATAAAATTCAAATCATAAATTAAATTGGAATTTAACCAATCGGAACAAAGAAAACCAATTTCAAGTTTAGTGAATTTTCGTCATTGGATAAATTCTTACTTCTAATTTAATGTCGAGTTTACGCCTGTTTTCACCATCTCCGATTAATCAATTAAGTATCAGTTGTGATTGGTCTATTCTGCTAAATAATTAATACGACTGGCAATTCCAATAGAATAATTGGCCGATTAAGTTAATCGGAGATGATACAAACGGGTGTTAAAGATGACGCAGCCAATCGCATTAAGTCTTGTCCATATTCGTGAATCGCCTTTAAAGATCTTAAAATTGACCAATCACATTTGATTAGAATTTTGTGACTGAGAACGACCGCCGATTCGATATTTCGAGAATCGCAATATCGCACGCTTCGATATATTTGTTCCGATTTTAGTCACGTGACTTTACTTTAGTTACGTGTCTTTGGAAACGTGAAAAGTTCGTAGACCTTTTAATGTGCACCACCGAGCATAGAGGCGCTTTAATACGACATATGATACAAGAAAAGATGACCATTATGCATGTGGTGATGTATCATGCGTTTTTAAGTCATTGTCGGTTTGAATCCGTGCTACATCCACTTTCTCTCAACATTATTTTCGACTTGTATAAAAACAAAAATTATATCCTAACAATTCGTGCAGAGATATATATTTATATTTATTCAGATATACATATCTGTACAAACAATGTGAAAAATGTAGAAAATTTGCATAGAAATCATAAAATTTTGAGATATACAAAAATTAAAGAAAATTGTACATAATGTCAAAATATAAATTTTCACACAAAAGCGATTGTCATATATAAGTAAAAGATTAATTGCAAGCAGGTTTATATATAGCGTTATAATTGTCTCTTCGCCGTTCTCCGATACATGCCAGCTCTTAACTCGAACGAGCAATTTCAAATTACTTTCACTGAAATCTCTCGCTTTCGTGACTTCTAAGTGAGATACTCGAGTACATCACAAACGCTTCATTGCGTTTGAATCTTCGATTTATGTAATCGACGACATTTCTAATCTTTCAGTAATAACAGATAAACACAGAGAATCAAGTTTGGAAATTTGTTTGGAATGAAAAGGATGCAAAAACAGACGTGCAATCGGAGAGAAAAGAGTTTTGAGAGCACATGGAGAAAGAAAAGAGGAGAGAGAGAGAGAGAATAGTGAAATGGAATGTGCAAATCGCATTAATTTCAAATGCAAATATTGTACGTGTTGCGCTTCATGAAATTAATATTTGACGTTCGTCGCGCAATCCAGTTGAGTCGTTTCTCCTTCAAAGAATCGACGATTGCTGCTGTTACTGTCTTGCTCCGCTGTTTGGTCTTGCTCCGATAATAAGCAGGGAAATCGGCTGCGCATAATTGATTGCCACGACAAATTAGATAGACCAAAAGCATCTTAACCAACGACAGCGAATTAACGGTGATGAAATCTCTTTCTTGTTTCCAGAAGTAGATAGTGAGTTCATCATCGCTGACGAACAAAGAAGCAGCATAGAATCAAAGACATATTGTACATTTTACAGAATAAATTCAATAGAGTAACACGGTTGCTTAGATGATAATTGTGATAATCTATGTAAGACTACGTCGTGACTTATAAAAACGTTTCTACTATACTATTTCATAATCGCAAATGCACTTATGACGAAGACACGACGAGATGTTTATGATTTCTTACGCGCTAACGCGATGATTGCGAATGAAATGAGCAAATTGCACCTGAATTACGCAGTCGGCCTAATGCGACGTTGATGCTTCAAAAACATTTTATTCTAATTTTCATTGCCGCAAAAGTTAACTTTATCAAATATATGTTATTGTTTTTGTGAAAATTTTCTCCACCAAGAAAAAAGTTTTATCAATAAGAGATAAATAAATATGTCTTTTATTAAAATTAAGGTAAATAAGTTTGTAAGAAAAACTATGCTTACATTAAAAGAACTAAAATAATAAATTTACGGCATTAAAATTTCAAAATTTCTATGTAAATTAAATTAGTAGAACCGCAGAGACAAAGCAGAATAAAAATAATAAGGTTTAAATAACGAGGCATAAATGAGCAAAAAGTTTATATTTTGTCAAACGATGATTTGAGCACTTGTCACAAGAGAGTGTGTACGCGATATAAAATATCAAAATAAAAAATATAATCTAAATTATGGAACGCGCGCGATCTAAAGTATTTTTAAAATAAAACTATATTGTAAGAGATATTCAGATCGCGTTCGTTCTTTGACTGTTTTCTCTTTGAACGATTCAATTTCTCACACTATTCGCGTACTAAACAATCGCATTTACAGCACATTTGTTGATCATTAAAATTGTACAACAAAACTACAAAATTATATGAAAAATCAAATTGTCTAACGCACAATTTGCGATGCTATATAAAATGTACGCTACGTAAAATGTATTTTCTTGTGTTTCTCTTCTTTTTTGCTCTTCATGAGTTCATGACTAAAAATATCATAAATAATTCTATAATGATAATACACCAAAGATGAAAAATAATGGTATTGCTCTATGGAACAAATGTCAGTCCCGCGCGTATCATTATACACTACGCTTCTTTTAACTATATGACGTTACTATAATATGCTAAAGGTTTTAGTATTTTTAAAATAGTACTTACTTTTTAGTACTTTTAAAAACATCTTTTCCAACATTTCCAGACTTTTATAAATTTTTGAAATATCTTTTCAAATATTTGAAGACTACAATAAAAATTTTTTTAGGTCTCTTTTTTTAGTTTAAAATCTAATACGCAATATATATTATTAATTGAGATGGTTAATGTGACATTTCGTGATGCGTTATAAACTTAGAAGTTATGTCGCAATAAACTTCTATACATCTCGTACATACAAATTTAATTTATCCGTTCACTTTGCTTTCGTTTTGCAACACGAACGTTAATTTCATTGACTGTTATGTCTTAATATGTACCGGATGTCCTGCACAAATTGCATTATCATACATTTCGCAATATATATATATAGTGTTAAAAAAAGTGTTCATACGATATAAAAATCTTCGTATTTACAATATAAATGTTTACATTACATAAATACAAATAATGTTTACATTACATAAATACATATTTATATAAATAAAACTAATATAGTGTAATAAATAATAGAAGAGAAACTTAACTTTTAATCTTTATCTTTATGTATTGAATTTATACGTATTTATTATTACAAGCGCGCGTAATATGCATTAAGCCAGAAAAAAATGTTGAGCCGTACAATCAAAGTTTCCAGTTTGCGACTATTTTAAAGATAACGAACATATTATGATATATATATTATATCTTTCTAATAAATACATTAGCTAATTAAAACACACGTCTACAAACACTCATAATACAACGTAAACAACATACAAAAATAAAATGTCTATATCTAAGACATCTAGCTAGTTAGTTTATTGGATAGGAATGAAAGAGTAACAAATTGTTATCTGTTTCACGATTGCGCGTTACGACGCGAGTATGTGACAATTGTTATCTCCGGATATACGCAATAATAATCGTGTGACGTGTCTATCGTGACCAAGAGAGAATATGCGTTTACATGCATATATATATATATATATATATATATGTATGTGAATGTACAATATTGCAGATCTGAAACATGTAAGTATACGCACACTATAGTGAATCGGACAAATGCCGCTAATGGTTTCTGAACTTAAAGTTTTGACTAATGAAAATGCGTCACGACAATATCAACATATTTGTTTATAATTGTAATTAATGACCATGTGTAATCTTGTTGATGATCTAACTGAAGGTCGTATGTATGTAAATTTGCAGAATTAATGTTATTTCTAAGAAGTCATAAAACAGCACTCTCTTGAGATAAACAAACGTGCATTTTGCGTGAGTTAAGCCATCTTTTTAACACAGCGCGTGTAGGCTTATGATTCATATATACAAACTATTCAATTATCATTCTCAAGAATAGTTTTTTGCTGTTCGCATCTTTTGCATTTTTTGCTAAAATACTTATTTATCACTAAAAACAACGGTTACATTATTTCATCAAAGATTGGATGGTTTTACGTGGTTTTTATTAATTATGTTGATATTTCATGGCGCCTCGGAATTCAAAAGTCTCTGTAATTATGTTTCAGACATATGGCACCAAGAACAGAAATATTGTACGATATTTCCGCAGGATACAAAAAAGTAGCGATAGTCTCGAATATGTAACACGAGTCAATATCGAGTGTGCTGTTCACGCGCCTCCGCGGTATATTATCTAGCCGATGACTAGATAATATTCGGGGGGAGAAGTGCGAAGCTACTCTTTAGAGCGCACTTCATTCATCGTGACATATTTTTCTTGCCTGCCTCGGGTGATTGATGCAATGTGCATGCATATTGACATAATTTCTCGATTCTTTGCGCTTGAATTCTCCCAATGTAATTCCATGCGTGAAAAATGCGCAAAAATGTTATATATACTAATATATATATTATATATACTAATATATATATTATATATACTAATAAATGTTATATATAATTACATTAATCACACAATCTTCTTTATTTAGGAAGAAGTGTGAAAATATATCCTGTCAGATATCTGTTATTTTTTTTATAACCCTGATCGCGTTGTAGAATAACAATGAATATGATGATCACACAAAGAAACTTTTAGGAACTCCTGTGAGTGATAGTGATTCTTTACTTCGTAAAAATACGGTATTTTTTTTCGCACGTATAACGATGAACGCAACTATTCAAGTCCGTTTGATTTTCATCGTGTGAATTTGTGTAAAAGATGATCATCCATTGCTAAAAGTGCGATTAAAAATACAAGTGATTGCATCTAGTTTAGCATTACGACATCATAAAAAATACCAGAGGTCGAGAAAGTTGCAGAACATCTTTTATAACTTTCACACGCAAAAGATGTTTCTTCATTCTCTGATAAATTATATAAAATTAATTCTATGATAAATAAAACCAATAAATAAAATAAAAAGATTATTATCTAAAGATTTTAAAAGAATATAAAAAAAATGTAAACTTTACTTTATCTTACAAATCACTTTTGTTCGACCTCTATGAAGAAAAGCCGTCGTGTAGCAATTGGTGCATTGTGTAAAAATCTAAGAGTCAAAATCTCTACACGTCTTTAATGTCACGATACACAATTTCCAACTATACTTGTGTGTATCAAGTTGTTTCGTACTTGAGCTAAGTATACGCGCGCGTATATGTTTGAGGCCAATAAAACAGCAACTGTGTTTCATATCACCCGATCTCAACATTTAACCGAATACTTGAGTCGCATTAAGAAAGTAACGATCGTACTTGGTTTACCAAGATCAAACGTAAGATCTTCGTCTTTGTTGGCCTTGCTGATTATCACTTGCACTTGCTCTTGCCATCTAGCAACTTTTTCCAGAGATCAAACTGCTCACTGTACTTGACCATGTGTATGCTGATGCCGCGCTGAATGTTGCAGGCGGTATACTGTATCCGCTTGTTCAAGAACTCGTTAGCGTGCGAGCGCTTGATACCAAGCTTGTGAGCGACAATGCCTGTAGTAAATACGTCCTCAAGCTTTAGATACGTCTGATTCAAAGCGGCGTCGTATAAACGGTGTATCGTGTCGCTTGACAATAAATACGCCGGTCCGGTAGTAAAGTCTGGAAATACTGACTGCTGAAACTGCGTCTGAGACACATAGTATTTGCTCTTGCGATTTCGAATAGGTTTCCATTTTCGAGCCAGTCGACCGAATATTACATTACGGCTCTTCGCGTGTTTATATATGAAAGCTAGCAGTCGCGGCACATTTATAAACATGTCGTCGTCGGTCTTTAGCACATACTTGACTTTAGAACAATATGTGTCGACCCATTCCAATGTCGAGATAGTCTTGAGTGTGAGATTCGAGTAAGAGTCGAGAAAGCGGCCACGTATCACATCGTTGTACATATGTTGTTCTTTGCGTAGGATCGCTTTCACTGTAGGATCAAGAGTAGTACCAAGCATAAAAAGCACGCTCATATCACTACGTTGACCGAAATGTCCCCAGGTCTGTCGAATTGCCGTGCGTGCTTCGAGATGTGTCGGTGCAGACATCACGATCACCACCAAGTCCATATTTTCACCCTCGTTCGGGCAGCGCTCAGGAACTGACACCGTGTGTCCGAACTCATATATGGCACGCGCTTTATCGTCACGAACCGCGATTGGTGCTGGTCTTGTCATATTGGCAACTTTTGTTGTCTGAAACTTTTCATTTTGTTTTGAGCTAACTGACGTGCTCATTAAAGATGACGAGAATTGTGCGCTGGAGGACGTCGATAGCGTAGTAATGGATATCAAAGGATTGCTCACGTTATGCGTCTCATATAGACTAAGAGACACACTATCCGAGCTAGAGTTTTTAAGTGTTGATGTTAGTCGCATATCCATGCTAACATTTGCATACATATGGGAACCTTCTTGATATGCAGAGTGACCTAAAATTGTTTAGCAGTTTTTAATAACTGTCTCTCTCACAACTTATAAGAATTTTATTAACAATGAGCAATGATGTTTTAGATTTTGGTTTGCTTTATTGAAAAACTTCAAAAATAATATTCTCAAACTCTGAAATAACTTGAAAGATATCAAACAGAGAGAGAGAGAGAGAGAGAGAGAGAGAAAAACCATATAGTTAACAAAAGTAAAAACTAAAAGAGAATTTATCAATGTATCTATATTAATTCTAAAAACAAATTACTTGGCCAACAATGCAAACACACACATTTTAATTAATTTATTTTATTTAAAAAAAGTAATTTTAATTTTTTTTTTTAAATTAAATTTATAATAGTTATATATTTTTTATGAAGTAGAATGTAGAATGTAGTTCTCTTAATGTAGTAATCATATTCTTAGTATAAAAACTTACTTGTGTTTCGTAGCAAGCTGTACTGCTGGACATCGTTCACGGTAGTACGGTAATACACATAGAAGGTAAAACCGATTAACGCAAGGATCAGGGTTTGCAAAAAACGACTTCTGAGATGCAAATGGTAAAACATGACGAACACTTGCTTTGGTCACTCTCTCGTTCTCTCTTTCTTTCTTTCTCGATCCCTTCACGATTATTAGAGACTATTTCATCGCATGTGCCATATAGTAGGCGACCTGACGGTCGTCATCGCTCCCTCGTGGACTCCATCACGAACCGAAGCAGCGCTGCAGTGTACTAACGTTCGACAAGTTATTCCCATACTGTGCGCGAGTTCCACTCCACACTCGTTACTCGTTTGTCCACCCGTCGTCTGCAAGTCCCCTCACCTCAAGATAGGCAACCCTGACGTCGTACAAGTCACTGTCCTATTTCCGACGACCGAGAAGACGGAGTGTGTCCGTGCTACTGCAGTCATTAGTACTTTCCATGAGACTGTGTGTCAATGATTCAAAAGTCGACTTTTATTAATTTCTTCTATGAGACTTTTATTTACTCCTCCTATGAGTTTGTGCGAATAAGTGCTTTCATTTGTCACACAGAGCTACCTCAAGTCAACACAAGTACAGTAAATAAATACTACTTATTGTATGTCGACAATAATATGTATATATATTGACCAAACATTCATATAGTTCTATCGTAGCAAGGAATGAAGTTGACAGTTGACTTTCTCACTCTGTCTTAAAATGCCACTGTCAATTTTACTCTGCGAAGGAAATGCGCTTAGTGCACGGTAAAATAAACAAAAAATTACTAATCGTAAGTAGTAATAAACAATTTTGTATCTCATGTTGGTATTTATTTTCAATATTATCTACAGAAGATAAATGAAATAAATAAAAAAATTATTATTAAACTTAATAATAACACATGATACTTGTGAACCATTTACTATTTTTATATTATACAACAAAATAAATTTAATTTTCAATAATTTCTAATAAATTTTTGGAAATATAATTTGTATCATACACTGGTAAAACAGAACAAGATATCGATAAAGAAGCTTTTTCCAAATAATATTTAAAAGACATCTGGAGATGTTTAAAAAACGTTTAAAAGATTTTTCACATTTCTCTTCTTCTGTTCTTCTTTTTAGATGCTTTGTAGACAAATGTTGTCTGGATTTAGAAAATTTTATTCGTATCATCTATAGATAAAAACCCATAATAATTAATAGTTGCGCCATCTGTTTTCAGTTTTTTTCCGTATCAATTGATATAATGCGCGTATTTTGAAATAATTATTGAACGCGTTTCTCACTATAATGTTAGGTAATCGCTTGGTTTGTTAAAGTCGATTTTGCGCAATTTTAATGATTTCGATTAAACCTTCTATCGTATAAGCATAAAAGAAACTTTCTTTTAGTTCATCTTGAGATAAGAGCTTTTTTCCCTTTTTCCTTATCCTCGAAATAAAGCACAATTCAACCGTAAAGGAAGAGCGAACCTTTCAACAAGAAAGACAAAGGACATGATCGTTCGCGCAAAGAATGGGCGTTATTTGATCCAGTTACCGTGGTATTCCTTGAATGGTCAAGGACCAGGAGTGTCGGGACGCATACACACATACATACACTCATACAGAGTGCAACGATGACGCCCTTTGTGCTGGGTACAAAAAAGCGGTCTCGAGCGAGCTTTCATAGGCGTGCTAAAATATTCATTGTCTGAAAATGGGCGTTTGTTAGGGAAGTATGTACGTGTATAACCTTCATCGTCGCGTCTCTTTCTCTCGAGCGCCTTAAAACAGGGACCCTGAGACGCGTAAAGGCGCTCCATTATAACCTAAGGTGCGGAATCCGGCCTCAAGCAGGAGAGAGAGATGTGGAGCAGAGGGCAGGTTGTCCTCGGTCGGTTCTCGCAACCGCACTGGAAATTCAATATCTTGTTACACGAACGGCGTAATGGGCAGAGCGAGACCCGTCTTCGATCGCCAGCAGAGTCGCGAAGTCGATAACCATGATAATCCGCGCGCGGCTCGAGCCGGATATAGTACGATTTTCCTCCGCGCGCCTGCGAGAACTTTTCTAATAATAAAGTCGTCGGGGAATCCTGTATCGGTCGATTAGACGGCTTTCATAAAGTCGCGAAGTTTTCGCGTTGTGTGGTCCAATATCACTTCTTCTTCGCTCATATTTGTATTCTTTTCCATTAGTTTGTTCCGTCACTTTGAAGTTCGTAAAATTCTTTTTATTATATTATAGGTATTTTTTTGTCTTTTCTTTCATTTTTACGAATTTTTTGACAGATTTTGAATCGATTCGAAAACTGTTGGAGCATCAATATTTTGCCAAATAAAATAAAATGTGTCTTTTTGTTACAAAAATGCAAAATGGAAAATCTTTGTTTTTTTCAAATCTTTATCCACAAAAAATTTGTTATCTATTTTGTTCTATTGTGAGTTGTGATGGCAAACGTCGATATTAATTTAAATTACTTGAAGCGAAGCGTTCACTTAACATTACAACACAATTTGCGCACCTGCAAATGATATGCAGTCAAATAACCTGTACACATTTTGCTCCATATGCATCACCCTGTACATTTCATTAGCCAATGCTTGCTAACTGTGTTAATTATTGGCAATAGTATAACAGAATTAAACCGGTCCTTTGGCGAGAAACGCCACGAAGAGTCGACATAGCGTAACGTTCTTTCTCTCTCTCTCTCTCTCTTTCTCTTTTCGGTTCATTAATGTAATCGAGACAATATATCGCGGGAATAATTGCGTGCGACTAGCTCTCGCGAAATTAAATATATTTCATTTCGCGTGTGCTCTGATTAATCAGCCAAGTTGAAACGTTTCGCGGCGTTCGCGGCATTTGTTCGCGAGCCGCAATTCGTGGATAGCTATTAAAATGCACAATAAAATTGAATAGCCATACTGATCAAGAGCACGGGCCATTGATCCAATTATAAAGTAATCGCCGTTACGAGTGCTTGCTTGCCGGACGGCCTAAACTAAAATGAAACAGAGTATCTCGCAAAGTAGAATTACGAAGGCAACGCAGGTTTTAATCGGCCTCTCGGTAAAACGAAACCGCATTAAAAACAACTCGCCAACAACTTTCGCTCGCGGCATTCGCGGCGAAAAAAATTTCAAACTGTTCTTAATTTTTTTACGCGAGAAATAACTCAAAGGGCTTATATTATATATACATATATTTATTTCTAAAGTCAGATACAATAAATTTCTCGAGCACGTTTATTACACTAATATATATAAATTTCAGACTTTCTGCATTTTTTCGAATAACATGAAAATTACATTTTGTATTGTATATTTTGTATTTTCTTTTGATTTCACTTTTATGACAGATTTTTAATTCTTTTTAAGACATAAATTTGTGTGTGTGTGTGTCCCACGATTGGGGAAGGTTTTTTTCGTGTACTCGTTCGAGGGTGACACGCGAGAATAAAGAAGCTGGGACTGCGTAGCGACAGACGCGCTGCCACGTTGTCGCTTCTTTGCGATGGAGCACGTTGCCTCCTCCGAAGAATATGGATTTTATGCATGAATAAGGACAGAAGCACCCTTCGCGCGTTCCCCACGTCCCACGTCGCGTCTGGTCCTCACAGTCGACTAATTCAGGTATACGCGTCGCCGTTTCTTCCCCGTTGCAGCCGGCGCTCGCTGCACCTGAAAATCTGCATGCGCAAGCACGGCGCGATCTACGTGTTTGCGGACGTGCAGAGTGTTCGATAGTGGCGGGGATGCTACCCCCGCAAAATTTTTTATTCCACCGGGCCGTGTATACACGCTCTTAGAAGAGCGGCGGCGCGAAATGCCTGCCAGCTTTCGACGCAGTCTTGCATCTTCATAATGTTCTCACCGCGATACGTATCTCATGTTCGACCGCAGCCAAAATTGATTAACGCCAACCCGATCGAATTTCTTTCTCTTTCCGTAATGATAGTGACGAACGTAATGTGATCGAGTTTGCTTGATGGGAAATTATTAACAGTTCAACAAAACGCGAGTTACGACGCGGAATTTTAATAAACTCGCATATAAGTTTTTATTTCTTAAATATTTATTATAGTAATCGCCAAATAAAATGTATAGTAAAAGTAGCAAAAACACTAGAACCCCGCGCACGAGATTTGGCTTTTTTACCCTTTTAGAAAATCAAAAATAAATTACTTAAACGTAAAAGAACTGAACTTTAAATTGTTATTTTTTTAAACACACAGACTCTTGAAATTGTAAAAAATAGAAGAAAACTATTGCTAATAAATAAAAAAGTTTTACATAAATTATGACAATTTTTAAATGGCTATGGAAGATCAAAATAACTCTTTTGACGGTTTTAAAGATGTTAATTGTGGAACAATGTAAATTTTCTCGATGCACTTCTTCACTTAAACAAAAAAAAACAAGAAACAAAAAACAACAATAACAACATCATGAAAGTGACAGTTTTATTGGGATATTTGAGCTGAATCTCAGGATGGAAATCCTCGTTGAAGTGTCCTTGCTCGCAATCGGAAATCCGTTTGACGCGCCTACATCGCGTAAACATTCCGCTTCGACGGTGTCGGTCGCACTAAACGCCGATATACGAAGCGAGGCGCGTTTCTGCAACGCCGATGCAGCGTTGCACAACCGGGGATGCATTGCTCAGCGTGCATCAGCCGGCTATTTTTCGGGAGTATCGCTCCGAAACCGCCGCTCGTTGCACGGGCTCGCGCAGATTGAATCGATTTCCGATTCGGACGTCTTCTCTCTGTGATGAACTACGGGCCGACCGTAGGGTCGAAAGAGTAAAGCGAAAAAAAGATAGAAAGAGAGAAACGAAGAGAGTGGTTGTGCGCGATGACAAACGCGTGGAGGGCCGGCTAGGAACTGGGACGCGGAGGGCGAATTCAGTTGCGTATGTGTGTATGTGTATGTGTATCGCTATTCAGAATCATGCGGCACGGCTCGTAAGTGGAATAATCAGTGACACGAGGGAACACGGAGAGTGTGCCCCGTTGTCCCGGTTCGCCCTCTCTCGCACGCAATCCTCTCTTCTTCTCCGTTTTCACTCTTCCCGCGTCTCCGCTCGCTTCGTCTCAGAACGTCGCCGAGTCCGTCGCTGTGTTTGCCCCCTGTGGAAATCGTTCTCTCGCTTTTCTCCGCCCTCCGTAGTCTCGGTCCACCGAGGCTGCTGCGGTGATGAATAATCAGCGACTCCGACGTGTCTCAACGTTCCCGAAGTCGCGAAGTTAACAAGTGAAAACAAGCCCCGGCCGTGATAATGCTTGAAACTGCCATTTTGTCCTTTCTCAGAGAATTTCGTCATGTTCCGTATTCAAACGTTTCACGTTACCGCGTGATATAATTGTTTTTATGCATGTCGTGCGCAACCATTATCGTTTGCAAAGTTCGGAAAATTTCGTGTGTCACAAGATTGATAACGCAGTTACATCATTGTGTTATATGGAACAATTGATAAGTATCCAAAACGACGCATAGATAGTGACAGTAGTATC